TGTGTGCTTCAAGTGCCTCACGCAGCTGCGACTGGGCGAGGGCCAGAGACAAGGGGGCATGAGACACGACTGGACCAGTTGGACCCGTCAGACACGAGGCATCCATCGTGTTGGATCATCAAGCGCCGAGGGGCCGTTTGTTCCTTTTGTCTTCACCTGCTCCGGTTGGTCCCAAGGTCCTCAGCTCCGGCATGGGCCGGCTGCTTAGCTTGCCCCAGACAAGGCCCGGCCCGCCAATCGCACACAGCGACGGGCCATCACGTGACCGAACTCTCATGCGGACGATTCATGCAGCCCGGCCCGGCCGCATGCAGTCTTCCGTGGTCAGCCCCGGTTTTGGGGCTGAGGCCTTGGGTGCACATTGGGCGGGTGCGTGGATGCAGTGACGTGTCCACCACTCGCTGCTCTGCCGCGGAGACCGCCGCAACCCTGGGCAGCAGGGGCGTTTCGAAAAGTCGACGTCTTCCCCCCTTTTCCCCTGGCCATGGATCATGTTGGAGAGGAAGAGACACGGCACCCTTGATGGAGTGGGGCAGGCTCGCCGCGGATTCCGTCAGCGGACCAGGAAAGGGGGGGGGGGGAGGCAGCCACGTCGCCTGCGACAATGCGACTTTCTGCGTGCCAAACCCCCTCGGCCGTCACAGTACGAGAAAGCAGATTCCCCAACGACCCCAGAAACAGGGCTCGGCCCGGCAGCAAGCGGGACCTAATCTCGGCGGCATTGCCAGTGCGTACAGTTCTCACAACACAGTCCCTTGGGGTGCTAGGGGGGCCCCCGGTTGGCTGGCTCATTTTCTGGTCCTGCTGCCTGCCGAACGTTGGCATTGGAACGGTGGTCGGTGTCATTGGGTGGCGCCTGGGACTTGGGCATCAGCCGCTCCCCCCTCCTCCGACTCATTTCCTCCACCCTCACAGCGCGAGCCGCGCTAACCCGGTGACCGTTCATCGAGTCGTGCGCGCGAATCGGCTTGCCGCCCCGTGTACAGATGCCGTCGGGACCAACCGTTGGCCCCGAGCGCGGTTGGCTGACGGGGTGCCCTGCAGAGCTGTGTTCCACGCCTTCCCGCTTGTTCCGTGTGTCGGACAGGGGGCCAGCTGATTCGCCCACGACTGGTTCCGGCGCCGCGGCATTGCCGCCAACCACGAGGCACGAAAGAGAGAAGGGGAATCGAGTTGGCTCTTCTCGACGCTCCAACACGGGCCGCGAGGCGCCACACAATCCCGGCCATCCTTTCGGTTTTGATTTTTTCCTCGTTGCTCTTTTTTAGACTTTGCCTTGGCGTGCGGGCGAACGGGCCGACGAGCAAAACCGCCCGTCAAGCGGTCATTCAATCTCAGCGGGGACTGCATGAATGGGCACTGTCATTCGTCCCCCTCCCCCGTCCCCCCTGTCCTCTTCGCTCACTTGCGCGCGGGACAAGCGCTGATGCGGCGGCGGCGGTGTGCAGATGAGACGAGGGCATGGAATCTCGTGCGTCGATCCCTTGCCGCTCGCAGCCGGGAAAAGGGAGGGGCGCGTGCAAGGTAGCCATGCATCGTTTGCACTCTATTTATTATCCAGTCTCGTAATGGCACTGGTTAGTGTTCCAACCATGCAACTAACTTTACCCTCTGGTCGTTGGCAGACCATGTATTCTTCCACTGTCGTCGTCGGTCGACCGCGACACCCCTCCCCCCTGGTGCCCCCCTCGTTGTACAGTAGTAACCTTGTTGCCGACTGAGGGAACTCGTATTCAGTTGTGGAGGCCAATCAAGAGTCGGCGTGGATCGCAGTGCAGTGGTGGTCCCGTTATGCACGAGGCCGGCACGCACAGCTGCAAACCGCTGGTCCGCTTACCCATTGATGTAGGTATATATTATACGTTGTGTACTCATACCAGTTGGCTGAGGGTTTAGCAGACGCTGTTATTATACCGTCCCTCGATGCTGGCGGCCGTTTCTTGGACGTTGGTACATGGCATAATGGCTGAAGCACCGAGTAATCAAGTCATGGGACGGCATTGCGGATACTCGATTCCGCGCTGTGCTCACTTACTCACTCGGGCTCGCATGCCTGCTGATCCTCCTCCTCCCTCCACCCCTGCTCTCTCGCCCAACCCTTGGAAGGCCATTGCGTGTGAAAACAGGCCACGTTTCGACACCGCCGCGACTGTACATGGACTCGTACGAATGTACCGAGCCGTGGTTCTTGCCTACCCCCGACTTTTTTTGCATGTTGCGGTTGGCCGGCTGGCTGGATCCTGTACCTTCTCTCTCCTCCCTGCTTGCTCCTCTTGTTGGTTCTCTTTTACTTGCAAGCATGTGTGTCTTAATCAACACATCCTCTGGGGCGGAGGGCGCGGAGGTGGATGAACGGCAAGTGGCTCTTGATTTTCCGGGGCCGGCTAATCATACAGAGATTCGGATTCCAAGATTATGGGGGTGGAGAGCGGGGGAGACAGGGGGGGTTGGGAAGGCGGACTGTTGTCGGTCCAAGTGGACAGACGAGAAAGAGGGAGAGGGAGAGGGAGGTTGGGCTGTATACACGTGGGTATGTAGGTTCATCCCGTGCTTCCATCTCTGTCGTGGCCAATCTGTCTCGCCTGGCGGATACCAGTTGCGCCAAAGGGGGACGATCACAGCCGTCGAATGTTGATCGACATGTCGTGCTTCGGGGGAAAAGGGGAGGGGAGGGGAGGGTGGGTAAGACGGGTAAAAGCCAGCCCACGGTAACGACGATGGTGATGCCGTACGCGGAGCGGGAAGATCCCGTACAAATCTAAGGCTTGACAGGTTGTACCCGGAAGGCGCGTTTGATCTTTCGTCTGTTCAGGCTCAGAGGCTCGCGGTGCTTTTTCCTCGAGAGCTCATGGGGTAACGTGTGTGTATCAGTGTTTGGCCAGGGCCACGCTGGCGTTGAGAGCTGTGACGAATCAAGCACGAGACTCTAGGCTCTTTCGTGTCGTCGGTGCCTGGTTGACTTGGCTGTTTGGCGTTGAGTCGCCTTGAGAGGGCGAGGGTTCTTGGGAATCGATTCGGCGGGTTTGCGAGCGGATGGCCTGCGGGTCGGTAGAGTTCTCGGGTTAGCTAGGCTCCGTGTGCTGGCTCTCGCGGGTCTGTTGATACTCGATACCGGGTGAAGCTGTCGAATATGACGTAAAGACAGCTGGGCATTCTATGGGAGACGGTGGTTGGCGATGGACTCGCAGATTCTTCCGAAAGGGGCGTGGTGGCTATTCGCACCACTGCGACCCCTGTACAAGGCTTGCCTCTTTACTTTGTATTGTCTAGGTTAAGAGCCTGGACTTGTTTGTGTTCGGAAATGCCGTTCAATCGCCTTGAAATGGTTGAGGGATGGAACTCGGCAACATATGAAGACGTGTAAACAGGAAACGAAGGGGGACGTCCTGCTTATTGATTCCCCTTCCCGTGCTTTACTATATACTTGCACATGGCGACGCTGCCCGATGGCCAATTCCCCCGAGACTACGACTCGAACAGCGTAAGCGCGAAGCCGCAGATAGCTGCCGTTGCTCCTAGAACGATGGACACTATCAAGTTCATTCGTCCAGTCGGTCTCTTGTGAGTAGATTCGATGCCGTTTGAGGGGCACATGATCAATCAGCTGGAGGGAATGTCCTGCCTCAGTGGGGAGAGCATGTGCGGTTCCTTGCTCTTTTCTTTGTCTAAAGCACCTGGCTTCTTTCTGCAAGCTGAACAGCAAAAGAAACAAGTGGTGCTTTGTCCCCAGCTGAAGCTTTCTTGTTCGTCGGTGCTTTGTTTCTGTTGTCAACGCAGTCGATGTCTCCAGGCAGCAGATTTTGGACCACGTCAGAGCGCTGAGTAGACTTCGACTCCCGTCCACTCCTTTGCGGACGACTCTTGATATTGACTTGATTAGTTGCGTTTTTGCAACCCGTACTTGTCGGTTTTGCATCGCCTCCTGAGACGGCTTTCAGCACCTCTTGCCGGTAATCGTTGACCGGGCTCGGGATGCTCTTTTCGGCGGCTTGGACAACGAGGCGCGGCGGAGAGGATTGGGAAGGACCGCAGATGCTTGCTGCATCTACGCCTCAGCGACTGCCTGGAGATTCATGTGTGTTCGGCAGCGGGACGTTTTTCTTTGCGATGGCGCTGCCTGGTACACTCGCCGGGCGCGGCTCGTCACGCCCTCGTCCTGCGAGTCGGGGAGTGGCTCCTTTTGAATTCGGCAAGATCCTATAGCGAAGCGTAAGCCACGGCAAGAAGGATGGGGCGATGCGGAGGCGCGATCTGTGACGTGGTCTGCGGCGTGACCGGACGCGGAGACGGCTTCTCAAGCGGAATCGGGAGTCGCAGCGAGGTCACCGAGCAGCAACTGGTCTGATTTTCGAGAGGAACTCAGGAAACGGCAGCTCGAATCGGACCTGGACTAGAATCAGTCGGCTTGCATCTGTTGCATCAATTGCGTCCAATCCATAACACGGCATTAGGGGGGGGGAAGATGCCCCTGGATGCGAATCATGCGATGTAGGCGGGAGATGCCGGGGTAGGGGGAAGAGAGCGCGTGCCAGGGCCGAGATGTGGCCAACGACAGACTGTGAGGAGTCCTCCTGGGCCGCGATGGCGCCTGGCCCATCCCACGCGGCACCAGGAGCCAGCCTCGGATGCAAAAATGCCCGTCCTCGATAGCTCCCGATGGACCAGCAGTCAATCTCGCCAGAGCACGTGACTCGACGGCGGCGCGCCACGGGCCCAGCTCCAACCCCGCACCCAGTCCGGGGGGGGGCCGGCTGACGGACCCACCCCACTCTCCGCCGCGCTCTCCGAACAAGGCGGGGCGCCCCCGGAGAGAAGCAGACGTCGAGGCAAAAAAGCTGCCGAGATGTGTCCGGCAGCGCGGGTATAAAAGGCCGTGGCGGCGCTGTCCTTGCGACAGGGGGGAGGCAGACTCGGCTTTTCATGCGTTGTTGACCTGCTGCTTGGGCAACGACTCTCCTTTGCATTTCATCACATCGTCTTTTCCCCTTCCAATCCTCGTCATGGCGGATGCTTCAGCCGTGAACCGGGCTTATTTCAAGTACGTTGTCCGCACTCCGGCTTGCTCGTCTGCAGGTCCGCAAGGCCGCCTCGCGTATCTTATCCAACCCCCCCTGCCCATAACATCACACTCTTCAAGCCGTCGTTCCCCCTCCCGTAACCCCCCCTCTCTGAGCGAGGAAAGAAAAACAAACACTCTCAGATACATTACTTACCGGTGAATCCCAAACGCGCAGCAAGCTTGCTCCCGAATACGACGCCAAGTTCCACAAGGCGAGGGCCGTCATGGAGAGACAGGTCAGGGGCAATGCCGCCTTCATCGGGGCCCGCGAGGGAGGCCGGATGCTCGACTATGCCTGTGGCACGGGCTTCTTGTCGGCGGTGTGTGTGCTCTGGAAACCGTGCCGTGTGAGACGGGGCTTTGCTGACTGCGGCCCAGGCGTTGGGGGACCGTCTCAGCCAGTGCGTCGGCATCGACGTCTCGGAGAGCATGGTCGAGGCGTATAATGCAAGGGCCCGGAGTGAGGTGAGTTCTACTTGTTTGGCTTTTGAGCAGCATTCCCATGTCAAGCGTCCTCGAGCAAGAGAACAAACCTATGCATACACACATCGAACAAGAACCATAGTCGAAACCTGACCCCCTCCCCTTGGGTTCTCAGTCCCACGAAAACCACAACAAATACACTCAACCGTCCCTTTGTCCACTGACCCCCTCGTCAGGGCTTCACGCCAGAGCAGCGCACAGCACACGTAGGCAACCTCCTCGACCCGTCAGACCCACGGCCGCGCGCGCTCTCGACGCCCAACCTCGGGGGCTTCGACGTGGCCGGCGTCGGCGCCGGCTTCCACCACTTCGACGACTGCCACCTCGCGGCGTCGCGCCTCGCCCAGCGCCTGCGGCCCGGCGGCGTGCTCCTCGTGCTCGACTTTGTGGCGCACGCGGCCGGCGCCGTCGACGACGCGGCCGTGCGCGGGGTGCGGCACCACGGCTTCGTCGAGGACGAGGTGCGGCGCATCTTTGAGGGCGCCGGCGTGGGGCGGGGGTTTGCGTTTCGTGAGATGGATGAGGAGCTTGTCTTTGAGGGCGCCGGCGAGGGGCGCGGGGATATGGTCAGGAGGGTGTTTTTGGCTAGGGGGGAGAAGGCTTGATGTGGCGTGTTCGCCGGTGGACTCTTGCTCGTTGATTGTCGTTGCTCGGACATTCGCCTTGTAGAGTGCGAGATATATTATTATAAGACAACCTTGTCATCTCTTGCTCGATACAAAGAGGCGGGGGAATACGCCTCCTCTATTGATGTCCCCAACTCCCCCAGGGACCACAAGCTTATTCCCCATCCCCCTTATTTCTGCATGCCCTTTTCGACCATGTCAACGACAAAGGCGCCGCCAAGCAGAATGGCGGGCTCCTCGATGTTGTGATGCTCATAGCTGGCGACGAAAAATCAGCTTCCGTCCCTGTCCCAAACCTCGCGGGCGGGTGGCCCCTCGTGTCACGCCGGGGTTTCCGCGTCATGGCACCCACCGCGACGAGGAAAAACTCACCTGAGGGTGCCGACGCCGCCGGCCTCGAGCAAAAACGCCGGCCCGTCCTGGAGCGTCTTGCCGGCCCAGCGCATGGCGAAGGCGCGCAGGATGTGGCCGTGGGCGACGATGAGGACGTCTCCGGCCTCGTCGGCGGCGTGCTTGCTGCTCATGACGGGCTGGTGCCACTTTTGCCTGATGTCGGCGATGAGCCGGTCCAGTCGTTGTGTCACCTGCTCGGGGCTCCTGTTGCCGCGCGCAGCGGCTGGTTAGCAGAGAAAGCCTTTGTCTCGGTCTTGGAGTGGGTGGGAGATGGCGAGAGAGGTGACGAGGAAAGTCCAGCAGTCACGTCGAGGCCATGGACCGGCACGGATGACGGGAAAGAAAAGGATATGTGTCTGGACAGGCAAGGGGCAAACCCACTCTCCCCCAGGACAGCCATCCCGCCAAATGTCCCAAGTCCCCTGGAGGCCCTGCTCGGCCCTCATCCTGCGAATCTCGGGGGTCACGATGCCCTCATAGTCGCCATAGTCCCACTCGCGGACGTCCTCGATGACCTCGACGCGGGCGTCGCACACAGACCCCTTGCGCTGGAGGGCGCCGCCGTGGGCGGCCCAGGGGAGGGCGCCGGCGGTGCCGAGGCCGAGCAGCTCAAAGGTGCGCTGGGCACGCTTGCGGGGCGAGACGTAGCTGTGCGTGGCGTGCGAGGCCGGGTCGTCAGTCTATCTTCAGAAGCTCCTCCTCCTCCTCCCGGGGAATGCTGCCGTTGCTGGTGCTGGGGAGACGGCTTGCATGAGTGGAGGAAGGGATGTATCCCTGTGGGTATATCTTGTGCAGTCAAGTATACGACGAGGCCGGGCTGGCAGAACAGAGGGGGGGGGCAGATACATGACGGGTGATGTGACGAGGCAAAGCACCCATCAAGGAGCAAAAGAGTTTGATTTGCAGAACAAGGGAGGGGGGGTCGACGTAGTCAGTGGCCGCAAACCGCGTACTCGACGGACCGCAGCCGCTGATGATGGTGGCATATGTGTTTTCCCCGGAGTCGTTGAGGCCATGACACCCTTTCACTCCCCCTCCCCTTCTTCCCGGCTGTTTGCAGCTGGGCCATGGCGACAGTGATGCAGCGGCAGAGTGCCGTGGCTGCCTCGCAGGCCGTCGCCCCCATGGCAGCTCAAACCCTCCATGTGGTGGCAATGCCGTGCCGCGCCCCCCTTGAACGGGTGGACGCATAAATGCCGTGCCGCGCATGAACGAGGACCGCATGTCTGATTTGCCGCTGCCGTGACTTTGCTCTGTACACACACACACACACACACACGCACACTTGGACGCACATACATGCGTATAACATGATGTGTCGTCCCATGCAATGTACGGTATATATGGCGTACATGCAGCGTGCCATCCCGCGATGTCTCAAGGGATGGATGGCGGACGGGAGAGGAGGGCACGGGAGGTGGGCATGGGAGGTGGGAACGGCCAGCCGTGGCGTTCCGCCACGACGGCAGCAGGAAGAAGCAAGCACAAAGGCTCAGGGCGCGGGGAGTGAGAAGGCAACCAGGAGACGAAAAAAAGGGCTCACTGACATGTGGGAGAGCTTCCGGGGCACAATGAGGCGGTTGTTGCCGACGAGGGCCTCGCCCGTGGCACGCACGCGCTCCTCGCCGTCTGCCGTGAGCGGGATGTCGGTGCGGCCCGTGTGTTTGCCGCTCAGCGACCACTCCGTCTCGCCGTGGCGGACGAGGAAGACGCGCGGCGACGACGGCATCGGGGCGGGTCGGGGGGGGGGTGAGGAGGCCGGGGGTGGAAACTGGAAAGGATGGTCTCTCCTTCGAAGCCGATGCGTTGATTTTGCCTCGTCGGGGGGGCGAGCAAGCAGTGTGAGGCTTCAGGTGGACGAGAAGGATCGCGGCGGTAGTGACGGGAGCAGGGCGACGTCGGAGAGATGGGGGTGGAGCGCAGCGGAGAGCAAGGAACATGCCGTGCCGCCCCCGGAGGACAAGGGAGAAAAAGAGGGGCCGGATCGCCCGGGCCACTCCCTGAATCCCTACGTAACTGTACACGGCACCGAATGCCGACCTGGCAGAAAGCGGCCCAAACCATAAAAGACGCGGCTCAAAAGGCCAACCCTGCAGCTGCAGTGGGTGATCAGCAGCAGAGGGAGGTGAGACCGTCATTATTATTATTATTATTATTATTATTATTGTATTTTCCGTCCAGCGACCTTTAGGTCGCTCAGGTCCCCGAGACGGGGCACAGGACGTGCTGAGCTGCTGGAAGTCTACTATCGCGGAGTAGGCCCACAATACGCGAAACGAAACGAGTACCAATCCGCGTCTTCTGCCCCTTCCACAGAACGTAAACAATCCACCATTCAGCATTTCATCGGCTCAAAGGCGCTTCTTTGCTCAGCCTGCTGCCCGTCAGCGGGACGTTCAGGCGCGACAGCCATGTCTTTCGTTTTGGCCTCACAGGGCCGGTTCCGAGAGCACCTCCGCCCGGCCGAGTCGGGTAAGAGAAAATGGGTGTGTGCAAACAAAGGAAGGGAAGGAGGAAAGCGGTTGCTGCCGCCTAGTGGCGAGGGCAGATCGTTCCAAAGAACGAGCTTGCCTTCGCCACCTTGACGAACTGGTCGAAGTCTCTGCCTATTGCTCGGTTGACCGCCGCGCTCGGTGAGGTGCCAACCTCATCCGATGTCGCGGCGCGATCTTCCGGCAATAGAAGAGATGCTTTGTTCTTTTCGTCGACCACATGAGCACGTCAGTCGCGCATCGTCGTGGTTCAACCTTTCGTGGTAATCAGCGAAGTCCCCGTGGTGGGTTCTTGCTGCGAGCAGATGGTGGAGCAGAGGTCGTGGAATGGTAAGTTCTGGCGGGCAGCCAGTCGTGGCATCGAGGTCGAGGACCCTGTACTGTTGGGGTGCAGAAACTTCCCACCAGGCTTTGAATGCGTCTTTTGGTCGCTGCCTAGCGACCTTGCGCAGATATGCCAGCGTCGGGAGAGCGTCTGCAGGCTCGGGTTGAGAGGTTCCTGCCTTTGCTAAGGCGTCTGCCTGCTCGTTACCTGGGATGTTGGTGTGGCCGGGGATCCAGCGGATCTCAGTGGCACCATGTTCTGCGGCCAAGGCCTGGAATTCCAGGAACTCCTTCTGGGAGGAATCTGACGGCATGCCTTGAAGACACGTCGCGACCGCGAGGTTATCGAGGCATACGACAATCTGGTCTGCAGCCGGGAGGCTCAACGCAGCACGCAGACCCTCTAGGGAGCCTCTCGCCTCGGCATCAAAGACCTCAGCAAGCCCAAGACGGCCGTTACCGCTGAGGACGGTGAGTCCATCCTGATGTACCGCATAGCCGTACCCCGCGGCTCCCTCCGGGGAGAGGGATCCGTCCGAGTAGACGATTGCTGTCCGTGGAGCAACTGATTGGAGCCACTCGCCGAAGTTTGCCGCCGATTCTTCTTTCGGCGCAGTTTGCAAGGGTCCACGCTGGTCGCTGGCGAACCTACGTGCGAGAAGGTCTGGCCTGGCGCACCTTGGGAGCAGCTCGTCAGTGCGACGCAGTCTGGTCCGGAAAGGTTGTCGTGGACGCTGGTATTTTAACTTAATGGCCCTGTTGATGACAGGGGCCCGGATCGGCTTCGTTCGCACCGCAAGCGGGTGCGCTTCGTCGAGGACTTGAGACGGGCTGCGAAGCGCGTTCGACACGCCTGGAGCAGGTGCGAAACTGGCGGTATGCCCGCCTCCCGGTGCCTGGCGCTGAGCGGCGTCGTCTTCCAGACCGGGAGGATGGCTCGCATGGCCGTGTTGAGCGACTTGTCCATCCGCCGGATGAGGTGCCGTATTCTTGATGGCCCTTCCTTTGCCGGCTTATTCCATCGCGGGCAGGTCATGCCCGGGTACCACGCCTCTGCCCCAAAGAACAATTGCGGCTCGATGCAGGCGCGGACGGCTCTCCGGACCGCACCTGGTAGGGGCCGCGGTTGGTATTTGTCAAACCCTTGAGATGGTAGGCCACTGCTTGCGCTTTGGCAGTCCACTTCTCGACGTGCGTCTTGAACGTCAGGGTGCTGTCAAGCCAGATGCCGAGCCACCGCATGGCTGAGCCTGGCCGCTTTTCTACCTCGCCATGGAAGACTGGAGGTGCATTCCTCGGTGTAGTTCGGGAGAAGTGCATGACTTCAGTCTTCTTGGGGTCGAAGGTTATCGCGTTCGCGGTGCCCCATGTCATGAGTTCGTGAACATGTTTCGACGCTCTGTGGGCAGTCTCCTCCAGGGAGTCTCCGACGCAAAGGACGGCAGTGTCGTCTGCATAGCCGAAACGCCCTTGGGGTTGCTCAGGCGGTAGATTGGCTCTGTGTATAGTAGGAAAAGTATGGGAGAAGCTGGCGATCCTTGCGGCAGTCCGCACTGCAAGGGTGACGAGGGTGTCATGACATCCTGGTAGCGGACACGTGCTGCTCGGTCATGCATAAAGGAGCCAGCCCAACGAGCGACATTCCGAGGCCATCCTTGCTGCCGAAGGCGAAGAATGAGCCTGCTACGAAGGACAGTGTCGAAGGCGCCTTCGACGTCCATTGTCACGAGTGTGGCGACCTGCTTGCGCGAGAAAGCCTCCTCGATGTCGTGTACCAATGCGGCGACAAGGTCAACAGCGGACCTTTTCGGCAATGCGCCAGCTTGTTGGGTGCAAGACACCATAGTGGACGGATGCCCACGCCAAACGGCGCGCAATAAGCCGTTCGAGGCCTTTGCCCAGACAGGAGAGGAGAGATTGGACGCCAGGCGCGGGCCTCTGACAGGTTCCGACGCCCCGGCTTCGTGATCATAACCACTTCCGCTTCCTGAAAGGCTTAGGATGGTGACCGATGTCGAGACAGCCCTGATACAGCTTGTGGACGAGGCTTCAATGGTATGCCAGACGGCACGGAGCATCTTGACCGTAATGTTATCGGAGCCGGGAGAGGTGTTACCCGTGCGAAGGGTCGCGTCCCGGACCTCCTCCAGGGAAACGTTCTGAGCGAAAGGAATCGTCCTCGCTGTGTCCACTGGGACCCACGGATCCGTGATGTCATCCTGCGAAGTGCGACGTTCGAGCGTTGCTCGTCGCAGGGCGTTGGCTTTGTCTAGTTGGGTCTCATAGACGGTATCATCCACTTGCAGAGGCGGTGGTTGGAAAGCACCGGGCGATCTCAGCCAACGGACCGCCTTGAAGACGGACGCACTGTCCGTGAAGCTGTCAATCAGATCGCGCCAGTAACGGCGCTTGACTCGCCGCACGACTCTCTTGAACTTTCGCGAGCTGAACCTCTCGGCCGAAACCGAGAGCGTAGACTCTCCTCACTGCGCGATACTCCACCGCGGCCAAGGAGCATTCCTCCGTCCACCAGGGCGCGCTGCGTGCGCCCTTGCGGACCGGCCGGCCTGCAGCTTTGGCGGCAAACTGAAGTAGGTTAGTCACTGCTAAGGCAAGTGAATCCAAGTCTTGAGGGAAGCGGTTGACGGCTCGATAGCCGCCACGCCGTTTTCAACCATCTCTACGAAGCGTCTTATTTCCTCGTCAGAGGTAAGGCGAACCTTCCCAGTGGGTGGGGGCGCTACAGCGAGCTCAGGCAGGGTAGTGCTGAGCGTGAAGTGGTCGGAGCTGGTGGCAAGATGGTCTTCCACCACGGCATTGGCCAAGGCGATATTAGAGAAGGCAAGGTCGATCGTATTGCCGCGAGGATTTGTCGGGACGTCAGCCGGGTTGAGCAGGTTCAGACCGTTGGCTGTCGCCCATGCAGCTACAGCCTCGCCGCGGCCCTCGATGCGGCCGGCTTGCCAGCTGTGGTGTTTGGCGTTGAAATCGCCTGCTACCAGACATCTGTTTGGCGCGGGCCATTGGAGTAGTATGTCGAGGGCCTCGTCGTATGACGGTTGGCGGTAAACGTTGACCAAAGTGATGTCGTTGACCGTGAGCCAAAGAATGTCACGAGTTGCCGCGGGCCTCCTCTGATCTACCATCAGCCCAGGCCTGCGGCGGACATAGGTCATGACTCTGGGTCGGGTGCTATTGTCTTCCCAGCTGTCAACCGGGGAGAAGGTGTCGTAGGCGGGATGTGTTTTGGTAAGGCATCGGCCGCCCTTTGTTTCTGTCCATGGCTCCTGGAGGAGCACCACATCGTAATGTTCGGAATCGGCGAGGGCAAGGGCGCAGTCGTGCGCCGGCGAGATCTTGCCCACGTTCGCTTGGAAGACTCGCAGAGTCTTATTGCCATTGATTTGTGCGTGGGTATCTCGTCATGGAGAGACAGAGTCCTCAATGATGCGTCGCTTCTTCGTAGGAGAAGCAGATCTGTGTCGTTGGCCTCCACCCGGAGGTTTGGGTGCCGAGGCCATCATGACGGAAGGCGGGGTTACGGTCCTGGTCGAGCTTAGGGTCGATTCGCTACCGCGCCGTGGGGCTTCGTCATGAGGTTGGGCTTGCTGTCCGTCGTCCCGGGCAGCACTTGAGGTCGGGGGTGAGGTGCGTCGATTCCGAGGCGGTCTTCCTGTCAGGCCCAGGCGTTACTGTCTTTTCGGTGACACCACCCGGCGAGCAGGTGGCATCCCGTTCGGGCTGCTCGGATCGTTCTACTCTTTCGTATTGTTCCTTTCGCCGGGCGGACAGTTGAGCGCCCAGCTCTCGGACGCGAGATTTCTCTTCTCTCGTCAGACGGCGAATGACGCCGTGTGATCGCTTCGGGCGCGCAGGGCACTTCGCAAAGTCTGCGGCGTGGGGCCCAAGGCAGTTCGCGCACCGCTCGAGGGCCACGCAAGCTTCCGCGTCGTGGCCGCGCCGTCCGCACCGCTTGCAGGATGCTTGTCGGTCGCAGGTGTGTCGGGCGTGAAAGTCCCAGCACTTGTCGCACTGGCTGGGCAGGCTAGATCTCTCAATGTATTGGGCGAGCCGACTGGATCCAAACAGCCTCCAGGGCTTATCAGTCGGTTCGAGGAATGAGACAATCAAGGTACAGGTCAGGGGTCGTTCGGCTTGCGCCTGGCGGGCGCACCCTGATGGGTTTGAGGCCGGTCTGGCAGGCGATTTCATCTTTGGCGGCTGGCTCGTAGTCCAATTCTTTCCCTGTAGGTCGGTAAGAATATAGGGGCAGTTTGCCACGGCGTAGGTGTACCATCTCTGGCTGATTTCTACATCTGTCGCGCCCATGTCTTGGGACCACTCTGACTGTCGTTGGACGATAAGATCCCGAATGGTCGCATCTGTTGTTCTGATGGCCCATCCGGAGTTCACCTTGAAAGCGGCTGGGACTTGGTGAAGGTCGATGCCGACTTTGGCGGCAATGTGGGTCCGGATTGCGTAGCTATTGTGGTCCCTCGCCGGTGCTTCGGCCGGAGTCGCACAAAACCCGGAGGTCTTCTTTCGGCGGGCGGGGATTGGTCGTCCCTGGAGACGGGAAATTGGCTGTTGTGGCTCTTGTTGCGGGGCTGCAGCGGCCGTGGAGAGTGGCCACATGGCCGCTGGCTTGCGGTGCGACCGGCGGCCACGCTGCTGTACGTCGGCGCAGATGCGAGTCGGAGATCGGAGGGCGTCTGCCTCCAGAGGTCGAGAAAACGGTTGGAGAAGTGCTCTGCGAAGCTGTGTTCGAGACCAGATGTGAATTGCTTCGCAGTCTGCTCGAATGATTCGCAGAAGGCCCGAAAACCGTCATTTTGGCGTTGTGGGCATCGGTTTCGTCGCCGGCGAGTTTGTTAGCTGCATCAATGATAGACACCGGTTGGAGCACGTCGGTCTCGGTGGTGCCGGGCAGGCTCGGGACGGGTTCACGCCGCGCTCCTTCCGTAGCGGCGGCATTGGACAGGCGGATGAGGGGCGACGACGGCGTTGCTGCCGGCCGCCGGAATGCTGAAGAGAGACCAATGGGACGGGTCACAATGGGAGAACTATTTCGCAGCTGAGATGCACGGGCTAAGCGAGCAAGGTTAGGCGGGGTATGAGCACCCAGATCAAAGGGATCCGAGCTGGCATGCGAGCTCGTGGCAGATGCCATGGCCGCAGCCGAAGCCAGCGCAGAGCGCGGCTACAGAGGTTGTCGTGCACGTGTTAAGCAAATTGGTAGAAATTGTGCCACTTTCTTAACAATTGCATGCCAAGAAAGTGTGATGACAAAGGAAGGTGAGGTGAGACCGTCACGACGTCGATCCTGCGGTACCGGGTAGGCCGGACGTCCTCGGCCTCCCGCCTTTTGGCACCACGTTTCGCCTTTCAGCTTTGACAAAACCCCAGACAGGGGAGTTTGAAACCTGTCGTTGAAACCCGACGCAAAGTGATGACGGAAAGCAGTAGACAGAGGGAGAGGGGAGAGGACATCCGTCAGCCACGGCTTGCCGTGCCACACTCGAGCAGTTGCGCAGATTCCAGAGAGGAAGACACATGAAAGCAGCAACAGTCCCAAACCTGCTTGCCCTTGGCATCTTCAGCGCTGCACCCTCGGATTCAGGCCCGTCGGGTCCTGCCTGACGCGCCGCCCCCAGCCCGCCAGGAGAAGAAGCGACGTCTCGAACGGCATTGGTTTCATGGGGGGCCGGAATTCTCGAATCACACGCGCACATCGATCCCCCACGCTTGGCGATGATCGGCAAATGGGCGTTTCCAGTCCCAAAGCTTGCGCAAACCGCAAACATACAGGGTCACAATGGCGAGGCAGAAAGGGCAGGAAAAAGCCCCTTGTTTCGCCCCGAGTCTGGGCAAAGGGTGGGAATCACGGCTCGTCTGCTTCTGCTCCCCCGGCCTGGTCTTTCCTCTTTTAATCGGCATATCCGCATCTTCTTCCCCCTCATCCTCTGCCATTGAATATCAACCAGCGCCATCATCATCACCATCACCATCAACAGCATCATCAGTCGTCGTCGTGCGTACTCGACACCTCCTAGACCGTCCTTCCCTTGCCAATCTGGCCTTGTCTGTCCTTGCTGCTGCCATTGACGAAACAAGAAAACCATTTCCCCGCTTGTTGATCCATCCAGCCATGGCCGCCGCGGTGCGCTTACTAATCAGCCGGGGTCCCGCCTCGCTCGACGACGACGGCTATTTCCACTGCCAAGACGTCGAGCTGACAACCTTCAACATCCACGGCCGCAAACGCTCGCCCTCGATCGCTTCGACTTCGTCTTCCTCGTCTCCCTCTTCGTCGTCGTCATCATTTGTGGCGTCTCCTCCCGCGGTAGCGCCGCCGCCGCGTCGCCGCAGCCACCGACGTTCCCAAGACGCCCGTCACGGCCGCTCCCTCAGCATCGTCACGCTGCTGTCCTCGTCCTCGTCCTCGTCCTCGTCTACATCTCTGTACCAGTGCCCGTCGCCGTCCCTCGTCTACATCCGGGGCATGACTGCCGACCAGCGCCGCAAGCTCGCCGACCAAATCTGGCGTGAAATCTGGTGAAGACCAAGAACAGTCGCATTCCACATTCCACCTCGCTCCGTCCTCTCTCTGGCATTGCGCACTCTTCCCCTACTATATACAAACCCGCAGCCATGGCCCACGCCTGGACGAGGCAGGATAAGATCAGGCGAGGTGTATGGGCCGCTGCCTTTGCCGCCGTCGTCTTCGTCGGCTCCATCACCGGAGCTCAACTCAAGTCGGATCGGCAAAAGGAAGAGGTACGCCGCCCCTCTGCTGCCCCTAAACACATCATCACCAAGGCTATTGTGATACACGAGGGTACTTGGGCTGACCATCTTGCTTTGAATGGTTAGGTAATCGACGAGTTCCGACAAACGTCTCCCTCGGAGCAAATCGCCATGCTCCAGACGCAAAAGGAGAGCTTGCTGCAGCAAAGGGCCGCTCTCGAGAGGAAGATGGCCTTGTTCCGCGAGCGTGTCCGGGAACGCGAGTCGGAAAAGACCGCCAGGCCCAAGTAAAGACAGGCCAAGGCTTCTTGGCCTTCAACCTCGAGCAGGACTGCCATGCATGGTTCACGGCGTTTTGGACATGATTAAATGATACCCCAATAGATGTTGCAGTACAGCTACTCTATTCCGTAAATCGCCTTGCCTCGTCGTTGCACCCGCTTTCCTCTTAATCGCTGTCATGGGGGCCTCCCTGTACACCGACAGCGCCCCTGTTGGGGCCCGAGCGTGGACCAGTTCCCCGAAAGCATGACGGCTCCGCCCCGTCTACTCCACGACTCCCTCCGCCGTCGGGAGCGGAATGGCCTTGTAGAGCAGGATGAGCGCCGAGTGCGACTCGCCGCCGCCGGCCAGGGCCTCGACCTTGTCCACCGTCACCTCCGACACCTTGTCGTCGTTGAACCACCACCACTTGCCGTCCTCTTCGCCCTTCTTGCCCGTCTTGGGATCCGCGGGCGCAGTCTTCTTGACGTAGGCCGTGTAGTGGCCGCTGTCGGCGCTGGCCCCCTGGTGCGTCACGACGCCGCGCAGCTCGTACATGCCCGACTGGTTGGCGCCGTCGTCGCCGCGCAGTCCGGGGTCAATCATGGCGTTGAGCTCCTTCTTGGCCGCCAGCACCTGGGCGTCCTTTTCGGCGTCAATCTCAGCATCCGTCTTGAACGTCTCGCCCATGATTGCGTCGCCGTCGCTCGACTTGTCAGTCTTCTTGTCCGTCCCGGGCTTGTCTTGCGCCTTGGCGGCCTTGTCCGAGGGCAGTCCGGCACCCCCGGGAATATCGGCGACGTTCTGCTCATGATTCTTCTTCCGGCGCTTGCGGGCGCGCTCAATGTCCTCCTCGTCCTTTCGTATCTCGCGCACCTTGTCGCGGACGGGTATCAACGCCTTCTTCAGCTCCTCGGAGCAAAACTCGACAATGTCCAACTCTTGAGGAAACGTCACCTTTCGCATAATCTTGGCCTTTTTCTGCGTCTCTCGCTTCCAAAAGAATCGCACAAAGTGGACTGTCAGATACTTGGGGGCCCGGGAAATCTTGGACTTTTTGGTGTACGTGGCATCGCGGCCGAGCACCTCCGACTTCTTCTCGAGCTTTTCGCTCAGCGCAGCCATGATGCCGTCTCGCAGGTGGTTTGTCGAGCCGTCAATGTGGCAGTTGAGCTTGAAGAAGCCGTCCTTGGCGATGACGGCCTTCTCGCCGCCGTTGCGGGCCTCTTCCTCATCGCACTCCATTGTCGAGGAAAACTCGCCAGACATGTACTTGTCGACAAACGAGGCCTCGGGGGCGTCTGCCGAGTCCTTGACCTTTACTTTTTGACTCAATTGTTGGACAATCTGGGACCAGGCTTCCTCAGCGTCCTGCTGCGCGTAGCCGTTGTTGGATTTTGCCTTTTCGGCAAACTGAGGAAAGACGGCTCGCAGGGCGTTCAGGAAGCTCATGGGGGGAAAGGCCTCTTGCGTCTGGCCCATTTTGGTGTACAAGCTCGACAGTTGGGCGGCCAAGTCCATTTGCGCCGTGCCGGCCAAGGGACCCGAAGGGCCGGGCGAGTACTTGGTCAGGGCCGTCTGGAGCTCGGGGATGGAGCGCAGAGTCTGAAGCGTCGAGTTCAAGTAGCAGGTGTTGCCGAGGTTGACGAGTCCTGCGGGGGTGGCGCCGACCTGCTGCGCCTGTTCTGCCTCGGTCATGTCCTCGACAAACTTGATCTTCTCTTTCGGACGGACAAGATCGCGACCGCTCGAGCTGGGAGTGCCCATCATCATGATGTTCTGGCCGGCCGTGAGGCCGAGCTTGCCCATGTCGGCGTCATCCTTGAGCTGCCCCCCTTTGATGAAGACCTTTTGCCGGTCGGGCTCGACGTTGGTAAGGCTGAAAAGCTGGAGCTTGAAATCTTCTCCGGTGGAGCTCGGGTCGACCTCGACCTCGTGCTTTTTGCCATGATGCTTGACGACAACTAGGGCGAGGGTTTTTTTAGCCGCCGATTCCAGGTGTGTGCTGGCCAGATGGGGTCGGTGGGAGGGGAAGGTATGGCACGAACCTGTTATTGTCGCCATGGTGATGGACAGCAAGGGGAGGACGTGTGTTAAGTGTATGCGGAACTGCTGCAAGTTGTAGCGCACGTAATCAGTCCGGCTGGCGGGTGTGTCTGGTGGATGAAGAGAGGAGAAGAAGCAACCATGGAGGTTGTTGATGGAGGAATGGAGGGACTGCCGAGAGCTAAAGGTGGCGGCACAAGGCAGCTGCGTCACTGCGGTGGCTACCTACCTGCCTGGTCACCCAGTCACTGTACAGGGAGGTACTCTCCTCTGTGGCTAAGCAGAAGTGTGGCGAGAGCACGATTGATGTGGCTTAGTCCCGCTGGTGCCGATGTCGGCATTGCGATGCCAGCTTGGGACGCGCTTTGGCAGATTGAGAGATTTTGCCTTGTGCTTCTTGCGAAAGAGAGCTCTGTTATGCTATCTTTTCACCATAATCGATTCCTGTTGGCTCTCTGGAGTACAGGCAGGTGTGTCCCTGGTAGCTAGCTACCTTAGGTATCCAGCTTCTGCGCGTGAGCAAGCGGAAAATGCATTTTGGCACAGCCTGTTCCCCCAATACTTGGTATACCGGTAAATGGAGAAGGAAAAGAAACACCGAAAGTCTCTGCAGGGTTTCGCTGGGTCAGTCAAGCTAAAGAAATTCTATTTCGTCGCTGTAGAAGTCTGCGTTGCTCAGCCAGATATCAAAGTACAAAGTACGAGGTTTGGCCTGAAGGTGACGGCTCACGTGACTACGCTCCACGCTCCCCCGCGCATGGCATCGCAACGTCAGACCCCACCAAGGCGTACGTACCTCGAGCCACGATCCCCTCCGCCGACGACATCGCCATCCCCCGGGACATCTGAGCCTTCAGCTTCAGCAGCCATGGTGAGCCGCCGCCGTATCCCTACTGCCCGGTAACTCGGTCTTCCTGCGCCGACCACCGCTGACCCCTTTGCGCCGCCGCAGTCTCAATCCCTGCGGCCGTACCTGCAGTGCGTCCGCAGCAGCTTGACGGCCGCCTTGACGCTATCAAACTTCGCCTCCCAGACGGCCGAGCGGCATAATGTCCCCGAAATCGAGGCCTGCACCTCGCCCGAAGTCCTCCTTGCTCCCCTGACGATCGCGCGCAACGAAAACGAGCGCGTCCTCATCGAGCCGAGCATCAACTCGATCCGCATCAGCATCAAGATCAAGCAGGCAGACGAGATTGAGCACATTCTCGTCCACAAGTTCACCCGATTCCTCACACAGAGAGCCGAGTCCTTCTTTATCCTGCGGCGCAAGCCCATCAAGGTCGGCGCGCGAGGCCTCCCAGCGGCAGGGACGCACATGCTGACGACTCCTAGGGCTACGACATTTCCTTCTTGATAACAAACTTCCACACAGATGAGATGCTCAAGCACAAGCTCGTCGACTTCATCATTCAGTTCATGGAAGATGTCGACAAGGAAATATCCGAGATGAAGCTCTTCGTGCGTGATGCCCCACAGGCAGCGGCGCCACCAGGCCATGAGATTGCTGACAGAGACGCAGCTTAACGCAAGGGCGAGATTTGTGGCAGAGTCCTTTTTGACACCGGTGCGTCTGGTAATTCTCTTTTTATTCCGATATTTGATCGCTGACGTATCTTTGTAGTTCGATTGAGTCGAGTGAATGATGCAGTTGGAGATTGAGACTTTTGAACGCTGGCCGCTGTGCCATGTTACGAATCGGCGACGATACGCCAGCTCGACCTGGGATGGCTTCTTCGAGGCAAGGGAGCAGGGGTTCGGTACGAATTAGAATCACAGCTACCGCCAGAGTAGCTGCAATGAAGCCTATGGCGAATATTGTTTCTTCGTCAAGTCGACCAGCCAGAGACTACTATCCGCCCGTGAAGTCTGTATCTGGAATGTCAATCGTCCTGAGCTACACGGCTCTCCTACCTTGGACCCGGAATACGGAATCGCTCAATATCCGCCAGCCTGCGGGAGCGAGAGACGCTCGAAGGACAAAACTAACAGCCCAAGGACTGTCAATGAAAGCTGGCCGCAGCGTCAAGACATTGCGTTGGACCCACTCTTGACTCTGCATCGACGACCAAGTTGTGGCTGTTCAACTTGAGCCACTGATGAGTTAAATCGTGCAAAGCGGCATGGAGCACCTGCCTTTCTTGCAAGATTCTCTCAACAAGGGAAACTCGGCCTTTCCTTCCCTCGAAATGGAGGACGAGGTGGTATCTAATCTTCTAGAAGTCAACCCCAAGGAGGAAAGACACTCTTGAATACAGACCTTGGAATATTCAAGTGTGGGCACTGCTTATTGTGGCAGAGTTTGACAGTAAGGGTGAATCAGACTGCGAGCAACGTGGCATCGGAGACGCGGAAACGCGCAACAACAAACACTCGAAAGAGCAGTGCAGCCTGCAGCTGTTCGCCGCCCGGCAACCACTTGCACGCACCCACTCCTTTGAACAAAGGTGCATGCAATTTTTTTTCGCCACTTGCACCTTCTAGGCAACAAATGATTTTCGCCTAGGCACATTTTTCGGAATTGTGCGAGTAAACAAGCGCAGTTGCTCGCTCTCATCGCTCTCTATTGCTCTGCCTCTTTGGTATTGTTTGACTTTTGGCTCGGTTTGCGGCTTTGCAGTTGCCGCGAGCCCTGAGCAGTTGATTTTCTAACCACTTGCTTTGCTTCAGTCGCCTCGCCAAAGACAAGGGCAGGGCCGCAGACCTCCAACCAACGCCTCCTCGCGCCCAAGAGCCAAAGGTCTGCTCATCATACACCACCCTTCTATCCAACGTTCTACGATTCACTCGCTTTGATGACTCGTTGAGGCCCCCTCTCGTCTCCTTTCGAGAGTTGCTCAACTTGCTCAGACGACACGGCTGACATTGCCGCCACCAAGTCCTGCGACAATGGCGTGCAGACGCAGCAGACTCAAGAAAATGGCCGCCACCAATAACAACGAGGGCGGCTCGCGCGTCAAGCCTGACGATGCCGAGTCACGTTCTGCCAACTCGCGTCCTGCTATGGCAGATCATCGCGGGCGCGGACGCAGCAACGGCTCAAAGAACACGGCCGGGATAAGCATGCTCAACCCGGAGTCGGATATCTGGGTCCCCACGTCTGCGCAAGCCACGTCTCCGAATGTAAGCATCTGATGACCTCTCTCCTCTCTTCTCGAGACTCTGCCAACACTGGAAACAAGGTTCAAAATGCTTTCGTCGATGCTACCATCTTTGACCTTGGCAACGTGAAGCATGACAGCAGTGGCCTTGACAATCAGGCTGAGGAGAGCAACGGCCAGCAAGCCCACAACGGGACTGCAGACGGCGCCGTTCTTCAGAATCATGGCAACGTCGTCACAACTCCCGGTGGCGTCGAAGCCAAAGGCACCGCGCGTCGCGTCCCCGTCAAGGCCCGGGCCAATACAATTGCCACGGCCGGGGCTCCAGGTTCGGGATCGGGGCTCTTTGAGCAGATGACGTTTAATCTTCTCAATAAGACTCTTCGCAATGGCGACGGCTGGAAAGCCGGAACTCCTTAGGAAGGCGTTCCGGGTGGCGTGGCCGTCCATAATACCCCCGAGACGATGGGCCAGCAGCAGAATGCAGGCTCTCAGAACTACTTCCATCCTGTCGAGGTCCAGCAGCAGCATGGGGCTTCGCTCCAAGAAAGCGGACCTTCTGTGGTTTATTGCCAGCCCAAGCCCATCACGTCTGGAGCTCGTATCCCGCAGAGCCAGTCTTGCGGAAGCGTCCTCGGCATGCTGAGCCCAGCCTCTTCTCGCTGTGCGGATAGCATTCGCGCCAACGGTATTCCGTTCAGCCCTGCTAGCTCGATCTCGGGCAACTTGACAGAGCCGCGAAGCTATGCACCTCGAACTCCTGGGCAGCAGGAAGTCGGTAACGATCCTCCGCCCAAGTTTGACCCAACTGGCATCGTCAACGGACAGCAGCAGCAGAATGGTCCGCATCCTCAGATCCATGCTGTAACGGCAAATCAGGTCATGGCCCATGCTTGCCCGGGCGCGGAGGCGTCTTGGCCGGCGGCAATGCCTGCGATGAACGCCATCGGGGCGACTCGATCGACGGAGCTCATGAGGCTGACCAACACGCCGACTGGTCTGCCTCTCTTGGCCACTGCCATGGCCCCAAACAACTTTCCGTTCATTGAGGCTCCGCGCATGGCAAATTCTTTCAACCATGGCGTCGTCAAGCTCAAGAATGTGAGTTGCCTCTGTGGTCTACGGCGAGTAGACAAGTGCTGACGCTACCAGATTCCGTTTTCCACTCGACGCTCTGAGGTAATTGCATTTCTTGGACGCAACTCCAAGATCTTGAATGACTCGGACGAGCCTGTGCATATCATCATGGAGCGAGTCACCAGCAAGACAATGGACGCCTATGTCGAGTTTGTGAGCCTTGAGGAGGCCATGAAGGCTGTCGAAAAGCACCGCCATAACCTGCAGAACGGTCGAGTCACCCGCCTCGGGGATCGCCCCGTCGAGGTGGAGCTTTCGAGCCAGGCGAGCCTCATGAAGGACTTGTTCCCACTTGCTCGCGGCCTCATCTGGGACGGCGTGACGCCCCAGTTCAAGCCGTACAACCACCAGTTTGCGTGGGAGAACTTCCGGGGCTTCATTTCCGAGGAGGAAATGGTCATGCTCATCAAGCATGTCGAGGTTCCGCACCGAGTACGTAGCTCCTGTTGCTGCCGAGAGCGTCGGCTGGAGCAGCATCACTGACCCATGCCCAGTCGCCTTACTCCAAGGACTGCCCGCAGAGACCCTACGAGTGCTTGATCAGCACGCTCAAAAAGTTTCCGTGGTACGCGACCGACTGCGTCACCATCAGCCAGCGCCACGCCGTGTACATTGGCACCGAGCGGCTCCTCTCTGTGCTCTCGGACAAGGTGAGTCGCGGCGTCGACCCCGTCAACCTCGGGGCGCAGCTGCAGACGCGGATGGTCAACGCGGCGCTGGCGTGCCCCGGCTTCACGCCGTTGATGAAGGACAACATCTCGTGGCTGCTCAACATCTCAGAAGCGGACCAGCGCTTCTTTGGGCAGCCGCTGCATGCTCATTTGTGGCGCCACCAGTACTCGCTGGCGCCCAAGCCGGGCATCCCGCTTGATGTCATCGAGGTCAGTCTCAAGCATGCGTGAGAAGGGGGCACTTTGACTAACGAGGTTGGCGGCCTTGCAGTGGTACGTTTCCGTCATTCGCGAGCAGACGAGCCGCGATATGCTTGGCCTTTCGCACTCGAGCCGAACAGACCTGCAGGAAAAGGGCCAGCAGACGGACATGCACTGGGGGTATTTCTGGGCCGAGCTGGGCCACAGCTTCGGGCCGCAGTTTGACCAGATGACGCTGGCCCAGGTTGCCCACGCCGAGTTCTCGGCCGTGGAGCGCATCCTCTCGCGAGCCTTGCCCCATGCCTGAGAGTGCGGATTGGAGAGGATGACGAGTCAGTCGCGTTTGCACCTGGGTGGTTTCGGAAAGGTTGAAATGCTGCGGGAGTTTTCCAGTTTTGTTTCTTGATTTTGCGCCCTAGGCCACCGGTTCACTGGTCTTGTGTGCGTGGGAGAGAGGCAGGGAGAAGAGGAAACTCGGGCAGCGGAACGGGAGAAGGCTGGGGGACTGGAGGACCCTTGGGCGGGCTCTTTGATTTCTGCAAGCACCTTTGGACGTCTTTCCTCGGGCAGGCATGGAGAGAGGGATGGTTCGAGTCGGAGTGAGTGGTGCATCGACTGCGCCTTTAATTAGGCATTGCTTGCTCTAGAGGGCATTGGAGGGTGAATGAAAGCAACGACTGACTCGTGAGAGGGGAGCGGGTTTTCAAGCCGCGGTTGCTCCGGCGTGATATGGGATCAGAAAGGCTCCATTTGCCCCGGCCAGAAGATCGTTGACTTGAAGGTGAAGCGTCCCGTCTCTGTAATGCCGGCCGAGACGCGATTCAGGGCACTGTCCACTAGCAAAGAGGCCTGTAGCCAGCAGCCGCTACAGGGGGGTTCTGCCCAGACGTACTTCGTACAGCAAGGCCGCCGTCTCACTTGTCCTCATCGACAAAGAATATTTCACCTCGGAGAAAGACTGCATTATTGTTCGAAACCTTGTGCTCATCGTCTCATCAACTCGTGAGGCCAGGCGCGGTCATTTAGCTACCTTGAGCTTCGTGCCCTCGACAACGACAAGGCTGGCTGGCTGTTGTTTTGTTTGCCAGTTTTTCACATCGAAATTTCTGCCAGCATCCAAAACCCCCTCCCCCCTCCCCTTGATCTTACTTATCTCTGAATTTTCCCTCCAAAATCACCACGCACCAACTCATCAAGACAACCAAACGTCCAAAACACGCGCACACAATGGCGACCACGACGGAAGAACAGACGCCCCTCGCCCAGCTAGCGGCCCGCCTGCCCCAGATGGTGGCCCAGGCCGGCCACTCGGAGATGTGGGGCGTCGAGCTCGCGTCGGCTGCCGTTGCATCGTCGCCGGACCAGCAGCAGCAGGACAAGACCATCGACGACGCGCCCACGCAGGTGGTGCTGCACAAGTTCCTGCGCGCAAACAACGACGACGTGGACGCCGCCGAGAAGCAGCTCACGGCCGCCCTCGAGTGGCGCAAGGCTGTCGACCCGGCCTCGCTCGTCGCCCAGCCGTTTGATGCCCGCAGGTTTGGCGGCCTCGGCTTCGTCACCACGCACCAGGACGAGGCTGGCAAGGAAGTGGTTGTGACGTGGAACGTCTACGGCTCCGTCAAGGACAACAAGGCCACCTTTGGCAATGTCCAAGAGTCTGTTCCTCCTCCTTCTCATCCCGCCCATGATGGCGAGTGTGGGCATCGATGAGTGGGTGGCTAACCCCGAACACAGCTTCATCAAGTGGCGCGCCGCCCTCATGGAGCTCGGCGTGCAGAAGCTGCGCCTCAACGACATCAAGGAACCCATCCCCGCCGGCGCCGAGGATCCCCACCGCATGATCCAGGTGCACGACTACCAGTCCGTCAGTTTCTTCCGCATGGACCCAGACGTCAAGGCCGCCAGCCGCGAGACCATCCAAACCTTGTCCATGGCCTACCCGGAGCTGCTCGCCCACAAGTACTTTGTCAATGTGCCCGCCATCATGGGCTGGGTCTTTGGCGCCATGAAGTTCTTCCTCGCACCCGCCACCCTCCGCAAGTTTCACCCCATGGCCTCGGGCACCAGCCTGGCCGCCGAGCTCAAGGGTATTGCCCAGACTCTGCCCAGCGAGTACGGTGGGCAGGGACCCAGCGTCAAGGAAGGCCTCACCGTGCGTCTGACCGATGACGGGGCTGTCAAAGACGCGTCTGCTCCCGCACCCTCGGGCGAGACGGCTCCGCTTGCCGCCGTCCCCGAGCCCAAGGATCAAGAGAAGCCGGCGACGGAGGAGCAGCTGGCAAAGACGACCCCGACGACTGCCGCGGTCGCGAGCAAGGCGGAAAAGGACTCCAAGCCCGCCGAGGAGACCAAGGCTGGCGTTGAAGCCGCCGCGCCTCCTGCGATGCCTCCCGCGATGCCTCCCGTCAAGGAGGCGACGCAGTGAGCATGTGAACTGTCGCTGCTACCGGCTACGGCTCCTGCCTGTTCTGCATGCCATACTCGCCGAACATCGTCTTCAGCACGCAGAGACGCCAGGCTCTCGCATCACGGGGCGATTCAACTCGAGCATGTCGTGGCATTGCGTTGACTTTGCTTACATGGCCGATATAATACCCTTCTCTCTTACCATGTTTTTTTTTTCATTCTCAGGTCAGGCGTTTGTTCCAGCGCAATGATGCTAGATCAATGCTATTTGTCATGAGCAGGGTAGTTTAATACATCACCTTGGTTCATAGAGGTTTTGTCCGTCTCTGGCCTGGAAGGGAAGTGAGGCTATCGCACGCGCCCATCAAAGCCGGTTGGTCTGCTTCCCGCTCTTGCCTGACCGAGCCTGGGCCGCGGGACCTTTAGCCGCGGCTGCGATAGCCACAAGCAAGTTGTCTCGTGAGCGAATGAGACGTGACATTGACCTTGGCGAACAAAGTAGACACATGTTGTCCGGCCGTGGTTATCCGACTCGCAGCCGCTTGCGGTCATTCCCTGCAACCGTGCCTTGTCCGCCGTGCTGTTGCTGCTGTCCATGTGGCGCCCCGTCCCCGGCGTTTTTTGAATTTCACTGTTGCTCCTGCTGAGCAGCACTCGTCCCGGCCCGCGCCAGTGATGATGTCGATGGGGATGTGCCATTATCTCGTCCATGTGCCGAGTAGCCAATCATGGTGTCTGTCTTTTTGTGTCCGCATATCGCCCGCATATCAAATACGGTGCCGGCCGAGGATCGGGTATGCTGAGGACGGGCTGGGAAGCAGCCGCCGTCTGCGAAGGCCGAGGAGGCGCTCGACGGGTGGACCTGAATCTGCGTTTACCCGGGAAGCCAGGGTGCGTCGCCGACAGAAGGGAGATGAGCCTATATCAAGAGCAGGTCTGGCAATATGGGTCTTGAAGGGCTTCGCCATGCATCTCGGCACTCGGTGGCCCCTTTGGCATCTCGGTCGGTTTGTGCAGGTGAAGCGAGGCCGGGGTGTGTTCACCGGGGGGCCGGAATTGGATCGTCAACGCCTCCTGGGTTTCATGGGCCTTGAGCCGCACAATGTATAGAAAAGCGGCCCTTTCCGTCTACCTTGCTCGATATGGGGATTGGCCCACAGGCGGGATAGGCGGCGTGGGCAGTCTCAAGGGGCGTGTGTTCCAGCGGCTTGCCCTAGCGAAGCGGTGGTCTCGGGAACCGAACAAGGTTGGGTCCCAAGGGAGAAGAGGCGAGTACGGGGAAGAGACAAGGAAGGAATGGTGGAAAAGACGTGGAAAAAGAAAGGAACGGAAGAAAAAGAGAAAGAGGCGTAACTTATTAATACGGTGTCGGGCGTTTCGAGGCAAGGCGGCACCGGCGAGCGAGTCGAGGAGGAGACGCGATTGGAGTTGCCCATCGAGGCACACAGATAAGAGGACGGAATTAAGCTTGTGGACAGCGGGCAACAAGACCATCACGGCCGTTGAGGGAGTGCAATGTACGCCGGCCATCTGCACTCATGGCGGTCCGGGAGCACCAGACATGGCGTGAATCACGGCGCCGGGTCGATGGACGTGTTCTTGCTCGGCACCAAGGCACGAAGGGGCTGTAGAGGAAGTCTTTTGACGGGTTCAGGGGTTTGGCAAAATGATGTATTTGCTCCAACACCGGCATCTAAGTGCAACCATGCGGGTTCAGGAAAGCATCCATGATGACGACCAAGCTGGACAAGATTGAAGAGAGAGCAACTCGATGCATAGCGCATCAGTCCCGGTGCGGGAGGCCCGTCTACGCAGAGGGCCAGAAGTCGGGGAAACGAAACGAGCTGGAGCGTCATCAGGGTGGGGGGTTAAGGGGCACAAGCGAGGCGTTTGTGGTTCATGGCATATTACGTGACTCTGTACAGGAAGGATGCGGACGATGGCATCTGATTCGAGGCACGAGGCGGCACAGTGCCAGTGAACAAGTCATCGAACGGCGGGTGGACGACGGGGACGGGCATGTCTGCCGCCAAGTACACGAGGGAGATGGGGCGGCGATGATGATGACGAGGAGCAAGACGAGGCGGACAAGGAACGCCATTGCAGAAGAGGTCGAAACACGAGTAATAAATGGAGGAGAGGCAAAGGTAAAAAGTAAAACGACGACAAGCGACGGGACAGATTGGGGCTTGTGCTGCCCCCCCCCCCCCCCCCTCTCTTAGAGTGCTTCCCCAGCCTCGTTTATTAAGCCATTCCCTCTCTCACCTCATCCCTATTTTTCTCTCCCTTTGGGTGCCTCTTTTTCTTTCCTCTACCGCCATCTCTTACATCCAAGCCGAGCCTGACTCCGGGCCTCGTCTGGCTCTTGCTCGCCGTGTCCAGTAAAAAAAAGGGCAAGCAGTCGATGCTTTTATTAGCTGCTCTGCTTTGCTATAGTCCAGGTACGTGAGTTGTAACTTAAGTAGCGTCTTTTTTCTCCATCTTTCTCATTCTCGTCCGTCCGCCTTCGTCTCTCCTCGCACGCTCCACCCCTCCTCTCTCGCTCTCTCTTCTCTCTAACACACACACACACACACATACACACTCCTTCTCTCCCTGTTGTTTCTCTTCACACCCGCCTTGCCCCCCCTACTTCTCTCTATCCAACTCCCGCCTCTCTCTACCGTGAGAAGCGGCTCCGTCTCGCGCGGCACCTTGAGAGAACGCGTCATTTGCTCACCGTTAGTCTCTTCCTTTATTAGAGCCAAGCAGAAGCGCGTCTTTTGGGGCCAACAGTACCTTGGCCGACCAACCACGGCCGCCAATCGTCAACCTCAACCTTGTTTCCGGCCTGGAAAGCCTCTTTTTTGCACCCGCTCACAAAACTACCTCATCGCTCCCGCACCCGCCTCGGCTCGCCCCATCTCGCGCACTCTTGCTGCCTCTTTCTCCTCGACGCATCCCCTTCTCGAGGCACCCGCTCCTCGAGGCACCGTGTCGTCGGCGGCGACGTGCGCGAGCGAGCACGCAGCATCAGCACCATCATGTCTTTCTTCGCCGAGACCAGCAGCTTCTCCGCACTCACCACCGACTCCTCGTCCAACCTCGCCTCGTCGGGCTCCACCCCTCCCACCACCGTCGCAGACACGGCCAGCCTGCACTCTGACGCCGCCTCGTCCAAGCACGACGTCATCACCGTCGCCGACGATGCGGCCGACGCGCCTCCCGTCGCCCCCCAAGAGCCCTCGCCGCCTCGCCGCGCCCGCCGCGCCCGCCTGTCCGACCCCGTCTACAACCTCACCCGCCTGAGCGGCACCGACGCCCATGGCAAGCGGAGGGCAAAGGGTGACGCCGTTTCCGACCGCCGCCGCCGCACCATCTCGGGTGACACGCTTGTCGGCAGCATCGAGGTGGCCCCCGACAGCGCGCCGGCCAAGAAGCAGAGCCTCGACGCGCTGCTGTCCTCCCCCTCGTCGACACCCCGCCTCAACACGCCACGGACGCGTCGCCGGGCCCGCCAATGCCACGACGTCCCGCCCCCCTCGGCCATCTCGTCCCTCGGCACCAAGCTCTCCACCCTGGGCAAGCGTGGCCGCGGCGCCGTCGACAAGGGCATGACCAAGATATCGCGCGAGCTGAGGCGCCTGCAGGACACAAACGAGTTCTCGGGCATCGACGACAGGCCCGTCGTCCACACCGTCTGGTCCAACGGCAAGTACGTCAACTCCGACGAGCCCGCCGCCCCCGCCCGCAAGAGGACAAAGCTCGACACGCCCGCCGCCTCCTCGGAACCCGCCAAGGAGGACGACGCGGAGCCCATAACAAACACCAAGCAGCGCCGCGTCAAAAAGTTCCTCGACAAGGGCCTCTATGCCGGCCAGGATGCCCCGCTCGACCCGACAAAGGGCCTCACTCCGGCCGAGAAGAAGAAGCTTGCCCAGCTGCCCGAGCTCGCCCCGAGCGGCCGCGTCAGCAAGACGATGCCCTCGCCCATCTACACCGGATTGCGCACCCTCATCGCCGGCCGCGACTTCAGGCTGCCCTACAACGTCTGCAACCCGCTACCCCCTGGCCAGCCCAAGCCCGACGAGTGGAAGCGAATGACCAAGAGTAAGGCCCCCTCCGCCCCCTCCCCGAAGCTTGCTGACCACTCATCTAGATCGGTTCATCGGCGATTCCAAGGACTATTGGCGCAAGACGCCACACTTGCACGACTATCAGTCCAAGTGCGTCTGCACGCCCGACGACGGCTGCGGCGAGAGCTGCCAGAACCGCATCATGCTGTATGAATGCGACGCCACAAACTGCAACGTCGGCAAGCAGCACTGCACCAACCGCGCCTTTGCTGACCTCACGGCCCGCCGCGCCAAGGGGGGCAAGTACCGCGTCGGCGTCGAGGTCATCAAGACGTCGGACCGGGGCTACGGCGTCCGAAGCAACCGCTGCTTCAAGCCCAACCAGATCATCATGGAGTACGCCGGCGAAATCATCACCGAGGAGGAGTGCGAGCGTCGCATGAATGAGGTCTACAAGGACAACGAGGTACGCCACGAGTCCCTCCCTTTGACGTCTCCCGTGTCCGTTGACCCGGACTAACCACTCTTCGCAGTGCTACTACTTGATGAGCTTTGACCAAAACATGATCATCGATGCCACCACCGGAAGCATCGCCCGCTTTGTCAATCACAGCTGCAACCCGAATTGTAGGATGATTAAATGGATCGTCTCGGGACAGCCTCGAATGGCACTATTCGCCGGCGACCGGCCCATCATGACGGGGGATGAGCTGACTTACGACTACAACTTTGACCCCTTTTCAGCCAAGAACGTCCAGTCGTGCCTCTGCGGAGAGGCCAACTGCCGCGGTGTTCTTGGCCCCAAGCCCCGCGAGGTCAAGGCGCCCAAGACGGACCTCAGGACCGCCGTCAAGGCCACCGTCAAGGCCGGCAAGCGCAAGCTCAAGGAGCTCATCGGAGACGAGGCCGACGACGGCAATGCCAGCAGCACCAAGAAGCGCAAGAAGATTCAGCCCGCGACCAAGTCAAAGGCGTCCCTCTCGAGCGCCGGCCTCAAGGCGGCCAAGGGCGCCGCCATGGCCCTTAAGAAGGGCGTGTCGACCATCTCCGTCGCCGCCAAGAAGGCGGCGTTGGGGGGTGCAAAGACGCCCGCCAAGCGCCCTGCCGCCACCCTGATCAAGAAAGCGAGCGCCAAGAAGGTGGTCAAGACGTACGGTCAGGCCCGTGCCAAGCACATCTCGACGTCTCGCGCCTCGAGCCTCACCATTGTCGCCATGGGGGATGAGAATGACCAACCGGGTAAGAAGGCATCGCCCGGCAAAGGCACTCTGGCCAAAAAGGCGTCACCCGGAGAAAACACGCCAACGAAGAAAGTTGCGGGCCGGAACGTGTCGGCGCAGCTGTCACTCAAGGCCAAGATCCGAGTTGTGTCTCAGTAAATGATCCTCTGACGAAAACATTGGTCAATTTTTCCTGGCATAATTGCTTACTATCCCCTTTTCCACCTGTTTGGACCGCGATGGACATGGTTGAAGAGACAGGCGAGGGGAAACGGCGTCTTGGCGAAAGGCGGAACTGAAAGCGTGTATAGTAGAGACGTCATGTTTTGTTTCTGCTCCTTTTGCCTCTTTTGCCCCCCTCTGGCTGCACGGCTGTGACTGCTGATGTGGGCCCGGCCAGCGGTGGCGACGGTGAGACAGAAAGGGGCAGCGAACACGAAAATAGAGGATGTCCCTCTTTTTGCTTGAACGATAGGTAGCTATGCGAGAGCTGATGCGAATCCGAGTTGCTTTTTAGGGGATTGGGGACAAGGTTGTGATAGAGATGGGCCGGCTGGTGGCAAGGGAGGCTTCGATAATGTCCAGGGAGGGACGGGGGAACGGTCAAGCTGTCCATACAAGAGTGGTGGTACGGAGAGCGAGAGCCAATGCCTGGGTTGCCGGTGCTGAGTTTAGGGAATGTCTGCGTCTGGGCGCGCAAAGCTTGGATAGAAGAAGTCGAGTGATGGCCAAAGTTTGTGTTGCGCTTCCAATAATGGGGCGTACAACAACTACCTGCTCCAGTTATTATCTCGGCGGTGAGCGTTCCCCAGCCCACGACAGATGACGACGCACTTTGGCGAGGATCCCCAGTGTCTCCTAGTAATTAGAGCGGTAGCTGGCATGGCTTGAAGCACCGTGGCGTGAAACCCCGGGGGTATCCAGGCAAAGGGTAGCCGATTCTCTCTTCTTTGCTTGGCGGGTTCCTGGTTCACAGCAGCCAAGCTCGCAGATACATTCGCCATGAGCTGATAATCTTCCCGGGGCTCACAACGGCTGTCGGCATTGATTCCTGTTGAGCTTGTCAGCAACAGTATGCACGGCGGTCATGTCGGGGGGGCAGGTGGGCAAGCAGGCCAGAAAACCCAGCATCTATTCGGAGACGGCTGCTCAAGTGCAGAAGCGAAGCAAAGGCAAGTACATATGGGAAACAAGTCTATATCGGTTCAACGCCCTGTGTCCATCCCCCAGATCCCAGGCAAGCGTCAGCTTCCTCCGTCTATCCGTAAAGCTAGGTGCATCGCTGTCTCTCGCCACACGCTCCAACTCCTTGGAAAGAACCCCCCAAAGAAATCTAAAATGGCCCACGCAGCAAGGTTTGCCGTAGTACAGATGAGAATCGAAGCGCCGAGGTAATCGATGTCGCAGGATATAGGTGGCCAGCCGCTGCGTAGCCCAAGCCATTGCAACCATCCTCGTCGGGGCCCTGGTGGGAAGAGCATGTGGGTTGACGGCAGACCACCACTGGGCTACTTAGCAGCAGCTACTTGGCGGCCGACCTCTCGGCTGCGATAAAATCTCGGAACACCTGGCAAGCACGACAGCGAGCGTGCGAGCAGTACAGGCATGCTGGCGTGGTCGAGCATACGAACGTGCCGCCACCGCAGTTGTGGCAGCTCCACGTGTACAGGGTCAGCGTGGCAGGCTTCCTGGAGGAGGAGGAGGGCATTGTGGGTGGCTTCTTCGATGAGTGGTTGTGGAAGTCAATGAGTCGAGGATTCAACTTGTAGATTAACGATTGCTTTGCTTTGCTGCTGCTATCAATGATATCTCCAAGAACCCAAGTAGGGCAGGATGATCTGTTTTAAACTGAACAAGACCCATTTGTGCAATTCGCTCAACCAGCTTCGCCAGAGGCCTGCGGGCCTCGGGTAACCGTGGCGAGGCTTCAAGAAGCCAGGTGGGAAACATCGTCGACCACTCAGGGGACAGACGCGGAGGGAGGTGCTTGGAAACTAGACAAAACAGACTACGTATAGCCCTTCAATAAGCTCGATCAGGGCAAGAGCAGTTCTCACCGGGGCGCAAAGTGCAAGTCCTCCCGTCACGAGGGCCGTAATGTTGCGAGCCCTCTTCCTCGCGGGGACCAGCAGCCCTGCAGAGGAGAGGATGATGCCTGGTTAGAAAGGGGCTTCGCTGTGGCCCTGGAATTGGAAGAAGCATGCGGGACCCTGGGACCAAGAAGCTTCGCCTCGAACTATCAAGGTGGGAACCGGAGCGATATCGGAGCAGTCTGTCGGCGGCGAATGAGAGGAACTGGGCGTCGACTGCCAGCACAGCAACGCCGGCTCCCTCTCCAGGCACGTTCTCACCTGTAGTCGAGGAAGTGGATAAAGGCAGTGCGGGAGACATGCTCGGGGAGTTATTTATCGTGTTACAGCGCCTTCCATGACGTATTGATGCCAACGCCGCCTGTCGGACCGGAAGCTTGCCAAGGCAGTGCTGGCGCTTCCGCCTCGCAGAGGGCAAGTCGGCGGGCGAGCCGAGCAGCTCGCAGACGGGGCAAGCGCGAGTGATGCCATTGCACGCGGGAGGATTTGCCGTAAGCAGTGTGGGTGGCTTAAGCGTCGGGGCAGCCAAGGCGCCTTTGATAGGGCGGCAGCGGGTCGTCAGCAACGACGGACGGCCTTGCTCAGGGAGAGACGGCGAGGAAAATCATGGCTGTTGACGACGCCTCTTGCTCGAGGCGAGGAAGAGGACTCGTTGTAATTGGCGTTTGCACAAGTCGAATGTTTGATAACTTGATGACATCGTCGTGGAATGTGATGCGTCAGGAAGGGGAGAGAAAGCGGGGTTCCGGGGGAGAGAAATGGAGGCTCAGAAAACACAGTGTCCACTGCGGCGCTGGCACGGTCCTCTATCCTGCGCGACCCACCTCGCATCATCCCGCCCATGTCATGATCTCTGTTTGGACGACGAAGCCATCGCCGCGATGCCGCCATGACGCGATCCGGCGACAGCAACCGCGCTGCCACCCGCTGGACCATCCGCGTAATCCCCTTCTTCATCGCCGCCGCCTTCGTCCTCGGCACGTACGCAGTCGTCTACCGGCTCTGCGGTGAGCTCCAATCGGCCTCTCGTCGCCAATGGCCGTCGCTGACTCCCTCTCCAGTCCACTACCTGTATCGCACCAGGGGCAATTCGGGACTCACGGCCACTTTCCTCGTCCTTTACTTCGTCTTCTTCATCCTCGCCGTCTCGACCTACCTTCGCACCTTCCTCGCCATCCAGCTCGATCCCGGGCTCGTCCCCCTGATTCGCGACCGCGATGCCAACGGCAAAAGCCAGGGCCCTCGGCGCACGCGCGGCAGAGACGCCGAGGCGAATCCGTGGGTGCCGCCGGACCAGAACCCCGACAGCCCCGGCCTCGAGGCCTTCTACAGCAAAGACGTCTTTGTCTGCGAGGCTGACGGCCGCCCGAAATGGTGCTCTGATTGCCGCCAGTGGAAGCCTGACCGCGCCCACCACTCGAGCGAGCTGGAGCGCTGCGTGCGCAAAATGGACCATCTGTGTCCCTGGGTGGGCGGCATGGTATCGGAGACGTGTGGGTGCTCAGCTGGAAGCTGCGGGAACCTCTATGCTGACGCCCGTCCAGCCTTCAACTTCTTCTTTCAGTTCACCTTTTATACCACGTGTCTATGCTCAATCAGCGTCGCAGCCGGCGCATACTGTCTTCAGCAGCAGACGGCCCGGGGGTCCTCAGTCGACGGCTGGGTCATAGCTGCCATCGCCTTGGCGTCGCTCTTTGGCTTCTTCACCTTTGCCATGACGTTGACGGCGGCCCGCTTCATCTTCACAAACATTACAAACATTGACATTCTTAGGAAGACACAGATCTTTTTTCTCGCCATTCGCATCCCCAGGAATAGCCCGCCCTCGGATGCTTTCCCCACCATCATCTACCCGCTGCAGCGACCTCCCATTCGGCAAATGACAGATGTGGCGAGCCCTCAAAGCAACGGTTACCTGGAGCATGATACGGACAGAGACATGCGGGCATCGAGAAAGTTTGCCATTTTACGGACCGAGCCCCGCGAGAACCCGTGGGACTTGGGCTTCTGGGCAAACTGGAAGTCCGTCATGGGAAACCACCCCATAGACTGGTTGCTCCCCATCCGGCGCTCTCCGTGCTGCAACCACGAGAGCATGGAGAGCGACTACCAGCTCGGCCCGCTGCTGGCAGATCTCAAGAAGCGATATTGCGTCCCTGAGCTCAACGGCGACGTGGGCGGGGTGGTGGAGATGCACAACACGGAGGCGCCTGCTGTTTGAGTCCGGCCACCGACCGATTTTATCCTTGTTGGATTTTCTGGCGTTTGTGGATGCATAGCGGTGGCCTTTGCATGAGATAGACAGCAGGGAGCGCGGAGACGATAAGTGTGCAAAATATGGATAGAACACTTACTACCACTGCAGCGCCGTTAATAAATACGAATCAGACATGTTCCCAGAAACTGGATTCTGTTCTCAAACGCGACTCAAACGTATTGTTCCGCTTCCATGTCGTTGATTGCTCGACGGATACTGACGACAGATCCTTGCGTTGCCCTGTTTACACTCCTAGAGTACAAACGTACGAGGTCATTCCTGGCACTGACATACTCGGCATGCTATGTTCAACGAAGAAGATCGACGACGACGACGATTCTGCGGACCCGGGAGGGATATTGTATATGTCCCATGTGAGATGGACCATGTCCACGGTTGTTCAGACACATTTGACACACGTTCTATAACTCGCAGTTAACAGAGCTTCACTTTTATCATATGCGTCGTGAACAGCAAAGAAGTCTCGCTTCGACTCGGGTCCTTGAGCGGTAGAGAAATGCGGATGACTCCCGTTCAAAGAACAAGTCCAACTCCTTTCAGACCGCGTTCAACGCCCAGCATGCTTCACCATGTCCTCGAACCATGCGGTTCTGCGCCTCGCCAGCATATAAGCCTTTCTACATCTCTCGCTCCCCTCCAGTAAAGCCTCGTACAGAAACCGACACCAAGAGCCACTTTCCAGAACTCCCACACCAGCCAAGCATCTACCACACTCGACTTTACAGCATCCACCTCATCTCATCCCGATCAACATGCCAGGCAATCGATCGGCAGTGCCCGCGGTCCCGCTCAAGGGGGCCGAACTCATCCAGACAATGAACGACGATTTTAAAGTGCTGGAGGACGAGGCGGGCAAAATCAAAACCGCCGCCGATGCTCTCGTCTCGAAACTGAAGAGTACCCGTGGCATCCTAGGCCGCGAAAGACTGCTCGATAAATGCAAAATCTTGTCCGTCATGTCCATGCGTTTCCAGGACGAACTCAAGGATATCCGGGAGGATTGCAAGCAGAACCCCGAGAGAGCCGAATACTACAAGGAGTAGAGCGTCTTGGCAAGGGGACAGGGCTGAAGAACGCGGGGCCACGGAGAACGAGGAGCGGGAGGAGAGAGGATGAGCCTACGGATGGTTCATGTCGGGCAATGCCTCAAAAGGAGTCTGCCGGAGTAGGGAAAGGCGGATATACTATATGTTGGAGCAGCAGCGCCCTTGACAATGAAGTTTGCACCGAAGACCCAGTCCATTGCATCGTCTGTTTGCTACATTTGCTAAAGTCTTGTCTTTTCAATCGTCGGTGCAAGCAGTAACAGGCCCAACGACCAAACGGGTTACCGTGAATCGTGCCCATGCATTCAGCTCCAACGCATGATGGCGGCCTGGGAACTCAGCCCGCCCAAGGAAGCAGGGTCTCCGTTGCAGCTCGCGACGGCCAGAGGCGCCACGCACTTGGGGCGCAATTCTCTGCCATGAATCAATCAATGGCCGAGAGCAAGCCACGCCCTGCCAACCCGGCTGGTTTCAGGCTCTGCCCTGCCCAGGCGACAGAGTCAATCCGTGATTGCTTGCCTCGTCCTTGGATCTAGCCGCAAGGAGGACCCAAATCTTACCCGTGCCCGATGTTCGCTAGAGGCTCGTAGCTTGGCTTATTGGTGAGCTGAACCTCGCCCTGACGAGGTCGACCGTCAAGACCCCGGTCCTGGCCACATGTCGGAACAGGGGCCCAGGATACCCGAGTCGGCTAGAGCAAATCAGCTTACTTGCAGAAACGTGGCGGTTTCTTTGCTTCCATACCGCTTCCATTCGCCCGTGGGCTTCGTCGCCCATGGCTAAAAGGCGATGGGGGCCGGCTGGCATCCGCCGCGCCCAGCTCTTGGACGACACAGCAGCAGGTTCTGCTCGTCGGCCGCTTCTCGTTCATTATCTCTTTCACTTGCTCCGGGTGCCGGCGAGACGACCATGGCGTGGGCCGAGTTGGAGCTCCAAGGCCAGACTCTCAGTCCTCTCTCGCCGGACCTCCGACAGGGCCTGATTGCCGTCTCGGCGCTGGCCCTCGTTTCCTTTGTTGCGTCGACGGCGCTGTTTCTCTACCTGACGTACAAGCTGGTCGTCTGGCGCTGGCTTGTCCGGACGGAGCAGCTCCGGCAGGGCGAGCCGCCTCGACCATCGTCACATGCAATCACAGACTTCACTCTCGGGATCGAGGGCATCTTCACCGAGGGCGATCCAGCACAGGCCGAGGCGGCGGCTCCGCGGGACGAGCGCCGAGATGGCCGCAGCTGGTGGGCCAGGAGTCCGCCGCCGAACCAATTCGCCGTCTTGATTTACAACCTCTTCCTGGCCGACATGCATCAGAGCCTGGCTTTTCTCCTCAACGCCTCCTGGCTATGGCGTGACGGCATCGTCGTCTCGACGCCGACGTGCTTTGCGCAGGGCCTGTTGGTCTCGACGGGGGATCTTTCGTCGAGCATCTTCATCACCACCATTGCAATCCACACGTACCTTTCGGTTGTGCGGCAACGCAGGCCCTCGCACCGCACCGTCGGTGCCGTTGTCGTCTGCAACTGGATCTTTGTCTACGCCATATCCTTGCTGCCCGTCTTGGTAACGCGCAACGGTGCTGAGCGCGGCGGCTTCTTTGTCAGGGCCGGCGCCTGGGTACGTGTTGATCAAGTAGTATAACCGTCTTGATGAAGCTCCAGACATGGCTAATCCGTCGGCTCCGTACGCAGTGCTGGATAAACAAAGACTACGAGCAGCTCCGTCTCGCCACGCACTACTTCTTCATCTTCCTTGCACTGGGCGTCACGTCAACCCTGTACGTCGCCATCTTCGTGGCTCTTCGCCGGCAGCGAAGCCAAGCACAAAGGGTAGCCTTCGCGGACAGCCAGGCGCCGCTGACCCACGAGCTGGTGTTTCTCGTATACCCGCTCATCTATGTCTTGTGCACCCTGCCTCTTGCTCTCGGACGCATTGCCACAATGGCAGGCAAGGATGTGCCGACGGGGTACTTTTGCTTCGCCGGCGCCATCATCGCCTTCAACGGGGCGTTCGACTGCTTGCTGTTTGGGACAACACGCAGCGCCATCATCTTCGGATCGGCGTCGGATCTGTCCTCCGACAGCATCGGCTTCAAGACCTTTGCATTCCTCAAGACCCCGTCAGCAAGGCGTTATGGCAACATGATCTGGATACAGGGGGGTGGCGATGGCGGAAGAAGATCATGGCGAGACAATAAGATGGCTGGTGGATGGTGGCCGTGGAACCAACGCGGACGCCCATGGCCTCGGAAGGAAAGGCACCAGAGCACGAGCCAAGAGCCGCTCGGCGCCGCCGCCATACAGATGGACATGGTGACGAGCGTCGTGGTCGAGGTGGACTCTGACCAGGACTCATGGCCCGGCCCGACGCGTTCTAAGCGTACGGCAGCCAGTGCCAGTGTGTCGGCGATGAGTACGGATGGAGTCACTTTGAAGGAATAGCCGCTGATATGGTAACAAGAAATTGGACGGAATACCGTGATGAGCTCTACTGCTGTTGAGGTCCCTCTTCAAAGCTGATACCATGCCTGGTACTCGCCGTGTCATTGTATTCCTCTGTCGCGAGCCTCGCGGACAAGAATCTGTTCTGCTCACCGCTGGCTAACACGGTTCCCACGAGTAGAGCCAAGTGCAGCAGGTAGGGAGTTCACGCTGCCAGGAGGTCACGTTGACGAGGTGTAAAGTGTCCACGCACGGCGGATTCTGCTTCCCGCGAGTGAATGCTACATATATCAAGCATTCGGCCGTGACGACCCTATGCCAAGTCAAGTACGGTTGCGTAGTGAAGTGCTGACAGTTCGTGTTCAACTCATGTTCTAAACCAGATCCGATGAATTCTTCACTCTCGTGAAAAGGTTACATGGAACTAACTGTGATACCTGCCGCATCGCCTCTGACCAGAGTAAAAGACCCTTCAGCCCCTTCCTTGACTTTCTCCATCGACACTCTGATCGCAGGTAACAGCCGAGATGTTGCTAGATAGCGGCTCACAATACAGCTTTCCGATGCGGAAACTGCGCTATCCAATTGTGATATGCAAGAAGCTCCTGGTGACAAGACCGCGACTGATGGCGGTAGGGAACCAAAGGCTTGGGTTTTACGAGCCAAGCGATCAACTCGCCGACGGCGAGCGGAGTTCGGAGTTCAAGCGAATAGTCTACATGCGGTGAAAGGCGTCTGTTCACGTATGTTGTGTGAACCACGTATATTGTGTAAAGTCCCAACAAAGACGAAGCTGTAGAGCTTGAAGCACTGCAAAGAGACCCGCTTGAGATACGGGACAAGAGCCGTTCATCGTCAGAACGCCTCAAGAATGCATGATCAACGGGCGTTGCATCCTACGACACCGCGCAGCAACATTGTTCAAAACTGATGCAATACTATTTGGGAGACCATCATGTTGCATCCGCAGGATGAACGCCATGGCTGTTCTGACCCGGTTTAGGATCAACCGCGGTACATCAGTGGATCGTTCCTCTCCGTCCAAAGCAGTTGGCCGGTTGTTCACAATTCACGTCTCTCACCGCAGCCACAGCTTCCTGACGTGGTCTTGTCAGTGGCCCTGGGCGAATCACCGTCTTGGTCCAGAAACTACACGGGTTTTGTGACAAGGAGAAAAGCGCGAGAGATGAAGTCATGTGTAACTCGATTCAAGTATAAGTAAAGCCCTCGCCGCCGTCGTGTTCTCTCAACCGATTTCTGGTCATCTTCTCTTCAACCTCGCACTCAGCCTTCACGTGCTCGACGAATCAGACCGAAACCACATTCTACCTCGACAAGTTTCGTTCAACAAACCGCCAGCATGCCCAGGGCTGTTACCAACGGCGACGTGCCCACTGGCACCGAACTGACCGAACAAATTGCCCAGATGATAAACCGATGTGATCCCGACGCGCCCAGCATGACGGATGAGGAGCACTGCGAAGTGGGCGAAAGGATTCTTCGTTTCTATAAACACTGGAGCCAAATTGGGTCTACACTCAGAGTCGAGTTGGAAACGCTTTACGTCATGTGGAGGGAGAAGGTGTCACTGGAGTTTTTTTTGCTATCGGAACGGCTCCGTCGCGCGATCGGCGACATCGGGATCCAGCGGCTTCTTATTCCTGAAATCAACGACGAAGAAACGGAATGACTCGGGAGAAGAAGCTGAGGCATGTTTCCACGACTCGAGAGCATGCAAGTTTTGAATGGATCTCAACCTACAGGTATTTTGAGCCATTGCCTGATGACCCGGCTCTTGTTTGCGCGTCGTTTTCAGAGTCTGGGTGGAAACAAAAGTCCATCAAAGACGTTCGGTTCTTCTGCACGAAAGATTGCTATTGCGATGACAAGATAGTTCATTGACCAAAATTAAAATGGTTCTTTATGCCACTAAGACATCAGTTGAATATACTGTCTTTCAGAAAGAGAACCTACCGTGATGCTCTTTGTTACTTGCCGTCGGCCCCAGCTTATGAGTATTCACACTGTATGCATCTTTGTGCATTTGCCCACCGGTCGACTGCAGTACTGTTATTCGACCAAGCTGCTCCCGTCCTAACTCTTGGGCACCGTATGTAACTGTGAAGCTCGTAAAATACGGCTACACCAGGCAAAATAGGTACACCCCCATTGGAGGTGTTATTAACGCGTATTATAAGTCCTTTTCTCCGCTCTGCAGGAACACGCACAAAGCCGCCGCCTTGCGTTTTGATCTTGACATGTTTCCTAGGGTACTCCAAATTCACTCTAGGCAGTTCTCAAGGTTACCAAATCTATATCTACAAAGCGTCGAGACTGCATGGGGCGGAAGTAGTTCATGTCGTACATGGTGAAAAGCAGCTTTCCAACCCCTTTGTCCATCCAAACCGCACAGGTACCCAAGCAACAGAAATTATGCTGTTCTGATGCAGGGACCCAAAAAGCTAAAATCCGTTCGTGACGTATTCAGAGAAAGCGATGTCGACATTGGCAGATGAAACCGCTTTGGGTTTTGGACAAATCAGTGTTCTGACGCCGTTGCACTCTGAACGTTTCGTGAATCGGCTAGTGCCAACGAGAAGCTTTCTCATCGTTCTCAGAACCGCATCAGACTCATCTATACATGAGTGTGGAAGCCCAGTGGTTGCCGGAACCATGATGGGTTGGACGACGTGTGGGATCGGAGACCCTACATGTCCCTCGTCATGGGCCGCGATACCGAATGAAAACCAGGGTGAACAGGTCCTTCACTCACTGCTCTTGAAGAGTATGGGGTCGACGTCTCAAGTTTGGAAGGGTTCAGAAAGTAGGGGGTTCAGCGAAGCTCAATCTCATGACACAGATACGACACGATCGGACTCAGGCCTTCTAACCCTCTTGTAACGGGCCACAACGCGGTATCAATTTTTGAACAGTGATTAAAGGTCGAATTGCAAACGCGGTCCGTCAGGACAGCTGTTCACTGGATCCGAACACTGTTCATCTCCGCTGCTGTCCCAGAAGACAGCAGGCTAACGGGATGGCACCGCTCCTCCGGCTCCAGTCGCACGAGCTTTGTTCTGATTGACGTGAGTCCTGTAGCAATCGCTTCACTAAAGACCAAGTAGGGACATTTGGAAGTCGTGATCCTGTGTAACATGAAGGAGCTGGGTATTAAAAACGAGAAGCGATCCCCGAAAGCCTTGATCTTCTGAGCGAGACGACAGCAGCCGGCAAATACAAAGACCTCTCGACAAGACACAACGCTTTATTCCGCTCTTCGTCCACCTAATCTCTTTCGACATACCCGGCGGATCCGTAACTCGACCCTGACGTCTGAAGGGAAGAATCTCGCACAAACATCAACGCGTACATGATGGCGGAACAAGTCACCGACAGACATGCTTCGATAATGAAATTCATAGAAGGAAGAGAACTCCTACTCTCCTCGTTGAAAGAATTCATAGAAATCGGGAAGAGAATGAAGTCCTTCAGGACGCAGGACACTACCGGCATGACACTCTTGCACGTCAACAGGGTCGAAGGAGCGTTGAAGGTAGTGAAGCGTGAATTCAACAAGGCATTCGACAACGAAAGGCTCGTCATAGTTGGAAATCTTTTGGGCTCGATCTTTGAAGAGCTCGAAATAGCAGAGGACGAGATCAAGGATGCGGAGGCAAAGCGCAAGGAGAGTCAGGGTTGATCATTTCGAGTTCCCGTATCAGGGTTAGGGCAAGTCGATATTGTACGGCTTTCTCAAAGGTGGAAAACAATCATGCGGGGCTCTGTTATGGTATTTCTCTAGAGATAGATGGCTCTTCTTCTCTCTTGGAACAAAAATTGTTCTTTTTCCATCATGAGTCTTGCCACGCCGTGCTTTGACTCCATCATGCAGCCGTAGACGCGTATCTCTTTACGTACCATATTTTTAGTAACAAGCAAGAGATTTTCAGTACATGTACATAGTTCCACGATGATAGGTGTCGCAGTCAGAAGCAATGTATGTATTGTTGGACCAAACCCGACGCTGTGACATGCTCCAGAGAGCCTAGAGGTGCAGTCGAGCAGCCGTACACACGCAGAGGAGTACAGTTCACGAGTGAGGCTCGTATAGTACTTTTTTGCCACTCTGAATCTGGGGAGAAAGTCGGTTAGGGACCTTGTTGTTGGACGCAACGACACCACCGTGAATGATGCCAGTTCTCCAGGAGCATCGGGCTGCGCATATCTGCATTTTGTCATCGAATGCCCGGCGTGAATCGTCCAGGAAATCAGAGAAGCCAATGCCTCTGACTTGGGTCAACCTCGAGTGTACTCGTCAGTGTTACGAGCGCCTCCCTGACGCTGTAACACCTGTATGCATCCCGAGGTGCTGAGCACTGAGTAGAGGCACAATTCGCAACGAGTATAAATACCCTCGCCGGTCCCCCTTTTGAAGTTTGATTCCCCAGTCCTGTGCGAAGAAGTTCGAAAGTAAACCGACTCGCAATTCCTCTGCCCTCGAGCACCCAGCGCGCTTGCGACGACGCAAAACCAACCACCATGAGTTCGTCCAGAACAAACGGATTGCCCGCGAGCCGGGCCCATCTATACCAGGAGTTCACGGAGCGCTTCGAGCGGGCCCGCACCGAGAAGGACGGACTCCTGCGCTACATGTCTCAGCTGTCGGGGCAAATCAGCCAAACCGACCGCGTTCTCGCCGAGAAGGAGCGCAGCCGGGCCGCCATTGCGTTTCGCCGCCCCAGAACCAGTGGCAGTCAAGAACATATTAATGTGCTGGAGCAAGAAATCAGAAGTCTCAGTGTCGCCGTCAGGCGATTGGAGGAGAGCAGGGACCTCGCTGGGCGCGCGATTCGCATCGCCGAAGCAGAGATGGTGGCGGCAAGAACAAAGCTCGACGAGGAGCTGGCCAGATTGGAATGACATGAGAAAGGCTGTCGGACGCAAAAGGGCTTTGCGGCTGCTGAGACGAGATGCCTTATCCAGTCTTTGCCGGAGTCCTTTGTTTCTGTTTGGGACGCAGCGAGGCGGTTGTTGCTAGTATCATTGACCCTTGAGGGCTCTGCTCTTTTTTCCTGCTTTGCTCAGAATATTACACAAACACTGGCTCTGGTCCATAGTGTCTTTGCCCCCGATGGGCTTCGTTATTACCCGTGACGAGCAGAGGTCTGAGCCAAAGTATCATGCGACGAGGTCGAGGCGTCTTGCTCTAGCCATCCTCTCACGGCATACGATCGGTAGATGATTGTCTTTACGTAGGCAATTGACTAGCGCAGCGAATCAGTCCTCTCCAGTCCGAGATAAGACCCAGCTAAAGTGCAGGATATATTTTGCTGTCTGCCACTTGTGGAACGTGAGGGCGATGGTGATGCAGGCTATGGGCTAGTCTGATTGAGTGTACGGGCGAGGAGCGCCATCCGGGATGTCCTCGGGGTGCCCTCAACACCACTCAAGACACGAAGGTTCCATTGGCGGTGCGAATGATCCCTGATTGGCATAAGGTGTCCTTGTCATCTTGGACGCAAACGCACTTCGCTGAGACCTGGTTGGCCGCGGGGCACGTCTTTCTTCCCGGTGTTAAGCTTAGCAGTATAAGAAACTTCTATTCCCATCGTCGTATGTACAGTACACTGATATTAGATAATATGTTTACACCAATCTGAAGCTACTCCACAGAGGTGTGATACGAGGGGCCTTCCTTCTTAGTATTATTAGTCTATGTTTGTTTGTTTGTTTGTTCACCAGCTCAGGCCAGGAATGAGCTGAACTTTGAGAAAGCATGCAACCGATACCCGCGCCGTTCGAACAGGGGAAACTCCGTCAAGAGTTGATCGCATCAGAACGGCGGCAGATCATGCCTTGACCTCTCTCCTATCGTGGCCACTAAGCCTGATGCTCACTCTCATCGTTGCGAGGACCTAGTTTATTAGGGAGGGGCGGTGATATTGTCGCCCTGCATTAATTGACCCTTGGCGTCGTTGAATTTACCATTGGCGAAAGCATCGAGCTGCGACTGGTCGGGAGACTGGAAAAAATCGAGGGCCGACGGCAGCGCCTTGGAGCATTCCTTCAGATCGTTGATGTTATTGACGCCCAGCAAGCTGAGCCTGATATAGGCGCGGGAATAAGCCTGCAGGGACAGGAAATGTCAGCCGTCACGGGCTCAGCTCAACATGGCTCTGAAGGTGGCTCTCCGGGCATGCTTACCCCGTTCCAAGGGCGCTGGCCGGTGGGTCCAGAGAAAGCCTTCCACGGGCCGTTGGTGCGAGGATCTTGGGACAGGTTGATGTCGCTTTGGAACTTGAAGACGCGACGGGGGGTGGAGCTGCTGGTGACTTGGCCGTAGAAGCGGACGTCCCAGACACCAGGGGTGCTGTCGAGCGGGTCGCCGGCGCGGCTGGGGTCCACGAACCGCTGCTGAGCTGTGGTGTGGGCACCGACGAGGGCCACGAGCTCATCGGGAGCGATGGTCTTGCTGCCAAACATACTGATGAGCTTGTCGGCACTGTCAGAAGGCAAAGGCATGAGGCCATCGGGCGCCGGCTTTGAATCGTCCTTGCGGCCGACAAAGGTGCGGACGCGGGGGCCCAGGGGGCAAGCGACGGTGGCCACGTTGGCTATCTCGTGTGTTAGTCTTGGAGCTGTCCCACGTTCAGAAAGAGAACGGCCCTGGATACGCACCGGCAAACTGGATCAGGTCGGCCATGCCGACGTTGTACTTCTTGTACTGATTATGCCAGGCCGTCATCTGGTCGCAGGTGGGCTCGAGGCCCTTGTTGATCTCGCGGTCGTAGCACTCGCGGGCCAGGACAATGGAGCCGTCCGATCCGCCGCCGGGGCCCGTGTTCTTGGACCAGGTGGCGGCATCGTGAAAGCCGAGACGGATGCAGCCGCGGGCAAGGTCGTTGCAACGGCGGGCGCTGCCCACCATCTTGGATCTCATGTCGTCGGCAATGTGCTTCCAGATACAGCACGTGTCGGCCTTGCACTTGGGCGAGTCCTTGTCCGGGACTTTGTCGTAGCGATCGGTGAGCTCCTCGGGGTTCTGACCCCCGGTCAGGAGGGCCTTGATGTCGGCGCCGGTCTTGGTGAGGCGGTTGTCGGGGAGGTTGACGAGATCGCCAATCATCTCATTGGTGCCCCGGCTCTCGAGACTGGCGGCTCGGGCCTTCAAGTCCCTCATGCCAGAAAAGCCATGAGCTAGGTTGCCAGCAAGAAGGAGGAGTGCTGTGGCCTTCATGGTTGCTGTATGATATTGGCAAACGAGAGAGAGCAGTCAGTGAACGAGGGATTAAATAATAAGACTTTGATATAATAAAAACGACTGTTGCTGCTCTAGATGGCATCGGCGAGTACGCCTTTTGAAGACGGGGTGCTCGTGGTGTTTTATACGTTGAGTTGGCATCTTCCATGTCCATTGTGGGCTTTGCTCGGGCCCTCGAACTCGACGAGTCCGGGGCAAGGGAGAGTCATCAGGCAGGCACCAGCTGGAGACGAGCACTTTTAGAGGAGCCCCTTGTAAGGCTAAGCCCGCCTTACCTGCCACCGTGAGGCTAAGCCCGCTTTACCTGTTACCATGGGGTTCGTGGGGTAAGGGTTTCGGAGCTGATAGAAGCAAGGCGTCGGAGGTCTGGTGGTGTCAACAATGGAGTCCAGGGCCCCGGCCTAGCAAACGCCATGGGCCTTAATGAATACGAAGGACGGAAAAGGTCTGAGGGAAGTTGGATATAAGGTTTAATTTGTGAACGGTTTGGTGGATCCAATCTTGGAACTGACGGAACGGTTCCTTGCCTGCCCCGGGGCATGGAGCCGGTAGGGCTGTATTTCGAGATTGACGGGCACCTGATAGGGAGGGTCTCAACTCGCTTCTACCTGAGCATGCAGCCCCAACGGCGTCAAGGCGTTCGCCGGCGGAGGTCAGGTATACGAGCGGTTCGAGGTTAACACAGCCCAAGTTGAGGTGCGGAGGCAGATTAAGCTCGCGCTCGGACGATGCACAACTCAGTGGCTAGCGGCCGTCGCTATTTCAAGAACAGCATATAGGGGAAGGGACGTTGACTCGCGAGAAAACAGGGGCTGGTGCTAAACGAGGCGTTCGGGCAACGAGGCACAGGGCTACACGGCGCTCGATGTCAGCAGAGGCCTCCTGTCAGACGACACTGGAGGGAGAAAAGGAGGTGGAGCAAGGCAAGGTCGTCGTAATTTAAGTGTATTTATCGAAGGAGAGCCAGAGAAGAACAATGCCAGTCTCGAGAAGAGGGCCAGGCTTGGGGGTTCGGGATCGAAATCGGAGATGCATCAAATCAGTGTAGACGAGGTGATGTCGAAAAACAGGAGACTATCAACATCGAGCGTGGCATCTCCAAGCTGGAACCCGAATCAGGAATGTATCAACTTTCCAGGTGAGCTGACACTGCCTGGCCGGACGTAGCGAAAACGAAGTAAGCACGGGGGGGGCGGTGTCCCGAAACCGACTCCGTGATGATGACGGTGATGAAGTGGAATGAGCACCAACGGACTAGGGAGTAGGGAGGTGCCTTTGGGCGGCTCGTGTTGGACACGTGACTGGCTGGGGTCCTAGATTAAGTCACCTGATAGGCTGGCAGACCTCAGACTTGCTTTCCAGCGCCTCTTGTGCGTGTCTGCGTGAGCATCTGTTGCCATGCACAGCCAGCTTCGCATGTCCCAAGAGGCGCTTGCAAGCCGTAAGCCATCGGCTGTCTCTTCCTGCTTATCCGAAAGCCATCAATGGCTTCTCGGCCTCGCCGACGTCACGTGTTGAGGCCTGGCGGAGCCTGTAGACCCACCAAATTGGCCGTCTACCAACTTGACCTTCATTTCTTCTTGATTTGTTTAGCAGCCCAGCAAAGCCCTCATCGTCACCATACAGCTTCTAATTACTTGCCGCGCCTCATCCAGGGGCCCCGAAGCCTTCTACTCTCAAGCGTATATTCCGGCCCCTCCCGACCCCGACTCGGCCATGGCACAGCCCGCTCCCTCCGCTCAAGAAGCTGCCTCCGGCTTCGACTTCGACACCCGTTTGGCCGAGTGGGACGTGCCGGCCAAGACCTGGCTCGCGAGCAACGAGGCGAAGCTGCGACAGAGACGGCTGAAGCTGGACGGCCTAGCCACCGGTGCCGTCGTCTTCAACCCCGAGGGCAAGGTTCTCGTCATCCAACGCGCCAGCCACGACACCATGCCTGACCGATGGGAGATACCCGGCGGCGCCGTCGACCAAGACGACCCGACCATTCTCCACGGCGCTGCTCGCGAACTCTGGGAGGAGGCTGGCCTTGTTGCCACGCACTTCCGCCAGCTCGCGACCGAGGACGAAGACGGGCCTGGCGGTGACCTCGCAGTCTTTTCTAACCGCGATGGCACTCGTTGGTTCTGTCGCTTTGCCTTTCACGTCGACGTTGCGTCTTGCCAAGATATTCGACTCGATCCGGCCGAGCATCAAGCTTTTACCTGGGCCTCGGAAGAGGAAATCAGAGAGCAGAGAGTGGGCAGCCGCGACATGCCCATCACCCACAAGTCCATGCAAGGGCTCATTCTCAGGGCGTTCAAGTCGAGACGATGAGACTTGCTCCTCTTGATAACGCACTGGCGCTGGTGTGTCATCACTAGGCCACCGGGTTTCGAGATGGGGGTGATCGTGCAACTTGAATGTAGTATCGACTTGGACGTCTCTGCAGTATCCCACAAGAAGCCCTGTATGATGGATGGCTCCATGTCACTAGCTGATGCGGCATGTGCCGCGAGACTGACTCAGGGTGGACCCGATGATGGGAGCAAATACCACCTGGTGAGTTGGGTGCTGACTTTGCTCGCCTTTTATGATGTGTATCCGCTCGAGTCGGATAGCGTTGCCCCCTCGGCCGGTCCGGGGCATTGACTTCGCGTTGACAGCATGCCCAATGCCGCCCCTCTGCCACTAGGTCCTTCCTGACTCTTATGCCAACCGCAAGAGCCAGTTAGTTCGGCCAACGCTGCGTCACATGTTGACCTGGCTCCACCTTGTGCTGAAACACGTAGTCGGTAAACTGCCAACGAGCTAACCGTTCCGGGGCCTTGGACAGACCAAGGGGTGCGGGGGCACCACACGTTGAAAGCATTCAGACACGTGCTTCCTCCCGCCGCCGTCCCCCTGAAATTGACTGACTCGTCTCAAATCCTGCAAGTCGCTTCAGTAGGTGAATCCGTTCCGACACATAAATGGCCAATGAAATCCACGCACATTGTTCCACTTGAAATCTGGATGTCTACTTCGTACCAATCCCATTCAAGACCTGGGCTCGTCGGAAATTCCACTATAGGGCCCTTACCACTAGCACCAGAACTCTACACTAGGAATCCAAGTTATCTATAAGGCGAGTAAGCTTTTTTGGAACCTTCTTTTCTTGTCTTTCTAACCGGCACGCATAACGTCCGCCTTCAGGCCTCACCCTTGTTGCCCGGATGCCATAGTTCCAAACAGCACTGGTCAGAGAGATGAATCGAGTCATATATCAATAGAAGTATCCATCGCTACACGTAAATTGACTGGTCTGGTCCTTGATCTGCCATCTCAAGTTCCCCAGGGTTGCCCTCTTTGGCATTGACTTGTGGGAAAACATCCGCTCGTATGAGTCGGGCACGATAAGGCAAAGCCAAGCCTTTTCTTGGCGAACGGGAGTTGTCATTCACGCCCCGTGTCCCCCCATTTCTTGAGTTCTATTTCAAAGACAGCCTTCATCCCTTCAACTTTCACCGAACCGTCTCTGGGTACGGACTAGAATAACCATATTCCCCTTGCGCTCGGCATCGTACCCGGTCGGTCTGAGTCAACCTGAGCGCTCGTGGTATCTCATCACTCGACGAGCATTACCATGACGCGCTGGATAGCTACGACGGTCTGGATGAGCATGCTCGTTGCTGCTGCGATTCGACACTTGGACCAATGTACCACTCCAGGAGAAATCACAGGCGGCCAAGAAGATGCCGGTGACTTTATGCTCGTTTGCGCTTCAAATCGAAAGTGGCAATTCCTGACAGTCTGAGAGCCGCAATCTGGTGGGCGCCAGAATTCATTCTTGAACGAGTAAGCCTCTTCGACCACTGCTCATACAGCACTAAACTGAATACCGATTAACACCCTTTTTTTTAGGTCGATTCTACTGCGGCGCTATTTCTCGCTTGTCTCGACAATGACCGCCTCACTCCTGAACTAAAGCGGTAGCGAGCTGTCTACATCAGACATACGACGCGGAAGAACACTGTCTGGCCAGGCAGACCATGGATGGAGAAAGATTTCATCCGTGGCCCTGATACTTAGAGCCAAAGGACCACGCAACTGCGTTCATAAACACAAAACAGCAGCTGTTGCAACCTCCGGCTCTTTTCGACCTTGGCCGACCCGAGAGACTCCTGACGTTCCCCGAGTGTCGAAAGACATCATTTGTATACGGTGTCTCTCAAAAGTATAGAGCTTGATGTCAAGCTACGGAAGCGGCCATGTAAAAAATGACTTGTATAGTCAATGGCGGAAGCTACAAAGGGCTTCAAACTCAGAAAGTCATAGTGGGAGTGTCCTGGTACGTTTACTGTCACATTTGCTCTGATTTAGAGTCTCAAATACATGAACCTGCCGTTCGAGGGTTACAAGTCTTCATCTGATTCATTCATCTTAACGAGAGTACACATCAGTTCGTCATTGATCAGCCCAGTCCCGCCGGCGAATCTGCCAATCCTCAAATTCATCCAACTTATACCGAATGATCCTGGCCGTAAAGGTCCCTCACCCAAGCGACCCTGTATCCTTGCAGCCAGCCCCGGGCAACGCAAATGCCATCATCATCCTTTCCTGAGGACAGACTCGTGACGGCGCGGAGACAGCTGAACGAAAAGGGAGGGCTCAAGGATGACCGTACCCCCTCTCGGTGCGGGGACGGCACAAGTCTTCCTATTCATCCTCTTCCATGCTCATAGCTTTGGCCCCTTGGACGTCTCGGGAAAGCTTCGCAGAGGACGTGGTCATGTTGGCATAGACCATCTTGTTCCTGGCCACCATCGGTGTCGACGGGTTTGCTTGGCGCATGGATCCGCCAACCATGCTGTCCATTGCTTGACCGGAAACACGCTCCGGACCGGCGGTAGAAGCGCCAACTGCCTCGCCGCGGGAAACAAGACGCCTCTCGCCGGTCGCCGCCTTGTTCATGGCCGAAAAGCCCATGCCAGTGTTTGCATGGCTATCCTGCTCGCTGCCCATCTGGGTCCTCTTATACTGCTTTTGCGACGCAGTGTTTCCATGGCTATTCTGCTCACTGCCCATCTGGGTCCTCTTGTACTGCTTTTGCGGCGCAAAGCCACCCTCCGTCATGTTCATCATGGTGCCCGATTCCTTGAGGAGCGCGGCATCGGCTACGTTCATGGCGGGAGCAGCAAGAGCAGTCCCGACGAGGGAGACGATGAGAGCGGTGGCGGCGGAGAACTTCATTGTCGCTGGAGTGGATTTTGATGTGAGCTGTGCTAGGGAGAAGGTTGATTCGTAGAGTGGTTGTTGGAAGCTAAGTGAGTATGGTAGTGAGTATCTGAGGATGAAGAGATTGGGTTGGAGAGAGCAAAGGGGCCTTGATATAGATGACGGCTCTGGAAGCCAAGTGCTGCATGTCGTCACGCCCGGTGGACCTCAGCCATCAATTCTAAGCAATTGTCTTGATGAATCTCCCCCAGAATCATTGAGGCTGAAGAGGTCAGAAATGAAGGCGCTGGGGAGGAAAGTGATTCCGCCCGGTGGTGGCTGCTTGCATAGTTGGCGACAGGTTGGAGATGCTCTTACTGAGGAAGTCCAACCTCTGGCGCTGCGACTCCAGATGCTAGCGTTCCAAGCCATAGCCCTCTTGTTGGCTCTCACCTTGCCCTGTCCAGACTTGAAGAGTAATCGGTAACCCTGTGAGCAGGATCACAGCAACTGTGTGCCGAGTTGGGCCGCGTAATCCGGACCACTCGAGCCTCTGTCATGAACGCCCGCCCGTGCCATTTGCTCAGTGATGGCTGCCCAAGAGTCAGGCGGCGAGACCGAGGATGATACGGAAATTACACATGAAGAACATGATGAACGGGATCCATGTCAGCCTTGCACTACGCACGCGAGGGTGTGTTGGCCGCCATCGCGCTGTCGACATGAATACTAATCGCCGTCGAGAAGCTGCAGAGGCCAAGTCTGGTAGGCTACAAGATATCCTCTCAGCCACTTACACCGCATGTCTTGCTCTGGGCACAAAATCTGGAACGGCCTCACCTGGAAGAGGAGAAACGTCCACATTCCTGCGGCTGCATCTTCCGCGAAGACTCGCAGCAACGGCACATGCAACGACAAGGCCAGCCAGGCATCGGCAAGGGGAAGCTGTAATCACCACGGCCAGACGCCCTCGCGCAGACAGCATTCAGGATGCCCCAGCATTCTCAGGGGCATGAGAGAGGAAGAAGCAGGCGGCTCGCTTGTAGAACGAGATAGATGGGTGTCTTCATTGTCGAATGCAGGCTGAGAGCGAGCAGACGTGAAGGCATCACCAAAGACGAGTCGTGGAAGGAGCGGCAGAATGGCGCAAGGGCAGCTGCCTTGCTGCCTAGCTGCGGCGTCATGAACTGACTCATCGCCATGCGTTGGCCGCGCCTCCCCAACCGCCAACCGAACAGTCCGGCATCGTGATGGAGCCCTCCATCCCTCGACTCGGCATGGAAGGCAACGCCTGCATCTCCAGCCTCCGCAACAAGCTCAGTGTTAGTATCTTGACGGCCTCCATATGGCTCCCCCTCCCGGTTAAACTGCTTCTCCTCCCTTCTTACCTTTTCCCTACGACGAATCTCCATTCCGCCCTCCCGATTGCAACAGCCTAGCATGCCGCCTTGTGCCACTTCCAGCCTCCTCCGACGCCGCCCTCTTGGCCCCATCGTCATCGTCGAGCACGCAAACGCTGCGAGCGCCCACTAGGTCGCCCTTCTCCTCCTCACCACTTCTCCTCTTCCGCTGCCGTCCAGCACGGCCCCCCTGTCCATGTCCTATAGCTATGGGTCAAGCTCCGGCATGGGCACAGGCTTCGCCGTCGGCCCGGGCTATAGCTATGCTGCCCTGACGTCCTCCATGGACCCCGGCGAAGCCCTCGATGCACCCGCTTCAGCCCGTCGCTCGTCGCACGGCGGCTCGGCGGCTGCCTGTCATGGCGCCCGCTCCGACAAGCGCAAGACGCCCTCGCCCCGACATCGCGCAGAGGCCGGCGGTCCGTCCTTCATCTACAAGAGTCTGGGAGCTGGCCTGACGCTCCCCCGCACAGCCATCACCAAGACGTCGCTACGGGCCAAGAACAGCGCCATGGAGACGCCCGCCAAGAAGGCTCACTCGGACCGCCACGTCCCAAACACCGGCTCAAAAGTGGCCAAGCAGCACTCAGCTACCAAGGAGCAGTGCAAGCCCAAACGAAGCCGGCAGGAAAAGAAATCGCACCGGATACGAAGCACGCCCAAGCAAAGCCGGGACGACGAAGCGGAGGCGTCCCGTCGGCGCAGTTTGAGCAGCCCCCGAGCCAAGAGCGCTGCTCGGCTGCGGCCGGCAGCAGCGGGCTTGAGACATGCCGTCTCGCGCAGGAGCAAGAAAAAGAACAAGACGGTGTTTGCGTGGGGATGCTTCGGAGCGTGATTACGCAGATGAAGGATAGTGGGAGTGCGACAAAGGGGTTCTGGTCTGCGCGGCAACGAGGCGTACTGGCGGGTATTCCAGTCCCGGCTCTGGAGACGTGACCAAGGACGACGTCTTCAATTGTATCGACTTGCTTTTATAAGTTTCCCCGTATCATTATTCTACCTAGACAAAGACACATGTCGAAACACGTGCCAGACCGGTGTGATGGGTGCCTGCACCGTAGCCAAGCCTTCGGATGCAACCCTCCCTCCGGATCGACGTACTTGAAGCCAAAGCCTGCTTCCGACCATGTGACATCTGATACGCCCACACGCCAAGAAAGTCGTTCGAGCCGGACGAGGAGGGTTGCATGAGCTTGACAAGCTCGGAGAGGGGAAAGGGGGCCGCCATCACCACATCACATGCCTGCGAACCTATCGTGATTTGACCAAATCAGGAGCTCCCTCCGGCACCCTCGTTCGCAGTGCTACGGGACTTTGGTTTCCCCTTTTCCCTGAGCAAGATTAGCCATGCAGGAGAAGAGGGGGGGGGGGGCAGTGAGAGAGAAGTGGGTGGCAAGCTCTTAAGCCGAGCAGTGCCATCTCCCTCACTCGTGTACAGAGCTCGTCCTCCTAGCAGCAAGGGAGAGCGCGTTCCCCGCCCCGAGTACGGAGTCCCGGTCCCTGCGCCGATCGCCCATCCGATCCGCCTGCCTCTCCCCGCATAGCCCCCTGGCTCCAAAAAGGCCCGAGGCCCCCGATCCATGCCGCTGCCCGTGATACAGCAGTTACACGAGGCGCGGAGAATTGATGCGTGCAAGGCCGGGCCGAGACATCTGTTCCGACGCCAGAAGTTATGGGCCTTTCTGCTCCCCTCCTTCGTTGCCGACCCAGCGACCTCGGTGGTACATGTACAGAGGCCTGGAGGTAACGACAGCACAGGCTCGTCAAGAGCTTCTGCTTATTCTAGTCCGTGTCCCGCTACGGTTCATAGTAGTCTGTGCGGAGTTTTATATGTTAGTCATGCATAGGTAGGCAGGTAGGTAGGCATGTTTCTCTTCAACGTTGAACGGGTACTTATGCACGTCAGACGGGACAAGAACAAGCTCTTGACTTACTGTGTATGCATCTGCCACAGTCCCTGGCTTTAGCACAGAGATCCCAAGCGTTGGCTTTCAGGCGCCCCCTTGTAATAATGAATCACACCTTTCGAGTTTCTCCACGGTCCATCATGGGACGCACCCTGAGGACATGCCGTGACCATCTCCGCCCAGCACGTCACCAGGGCTAGACCCGTTGTCGTTGCTCTCGGCCGAATAATCGTCTTTTCCCATTGACAGAAGGAAAACGTAGAGCCTGCAGTGTAAGGCCCCCCCAGATCGTACATGCGTGCTCCGTGGAGACGCTGACATTGCAGCGCAAGTCCCCGTCGTCCATTGGTCCGCGACTCTGCGCTCGGCGCTCTCCACCGGGCGCCGAAAGCGCGAGGCGACATGGCTTCGATTTCGTCCCTTGCCATTCTTCCCTTGACCTCATAATTATTCTTTTCGTGTGGTAATCCCAGCGCCGGCTTTTTCATCGCTCATAATCACATCACAAGAAAATGAAAACTTCATCCTCTCAATCATGCACTCTAAGAGGAGCTTGCTGTGCCCAGGATTGCTGCGCGAGCATCATCGGCCTCATTGTGCATCTATCCCGTGGCGGTCACTGCGCTGTCACTCTCACGGCGAGCCGGGTGGTGATCGTAGCATCCCAGTTGGCCCTCCGACACCGCTCTTGACATCTGCGGCGTTCCCGGGCAAGAAGCGTCATTGGAGTCAACACTCGTGATGCACTTGGGCGTGTCTTCGGCTGGGCCCATGGTACTGTCGCGCCACCAATAGTACATGGCGTCGCGCTGCCATCGCCAGAGATCCCGGATTCTCAGCGACCGGCTTGCGACAAACGTCGAGTGCAGGAGCTGCACATTGAGCGGCGACTGACGAAGCTGTTGAAGTAGCCATCTGTTGACCAAGTCTCCTCTGCCTCCCGCTTCGCCTCCTGGCGTTAGGTTGTCAATGGAGTACTCCTTGGCGGCCAGTCGTTGCCTCTCTTTGTTCTCGGCATTGTCCTGCGGGAGTCGAGCCGCGGCCCGGAGAGCCTGGAGCGACGTCAGCGGCTCCGGCTCAGCCAAGACATGGTCGGGCTGAGACAGAATCTCGGAAAAGACGGCATGGGCCAGAGACTTCTTCCTGGCGAGGATCGAAGCTTTGTCCTCCAGCTCCAGTTCCTCGAATCTGGTATGAGGATCCAATGCGTACGCCATCCGAAGCGACATGTGCTTCCTCATCACCTTCTTTGCCTCGCAAAGCTGCTTGAGGCTTTCGACCTGATTCTCAAGCCTCGAAACCTCGTCCTTCATCCTTGCCTCCTCCGCGGGAAACTCGGCAAAAAAGTCATCGGCTTCGGCCGTCGTCTTCTTGCCCGTAGACCATTTGAGCTTGGATTCGAATTCGTACTGTTCCTTGACGTAAAGCAGGTCCTGGTACTCCTCTTTTGCATTCTCGAGATCGCCGACGGCCGACGTCAGCTCAACGTAGAGCGGATGAAGGTCTTCTGATGGCTTGTCCGCGGATATTCCCCTCAACTCGTAGGGCACGTCGGAGGGTGGGCCCGACTCTGCTTCCGAAGGGGTCGCGCGATACGAGGCGGCGTGCTCCACCCTGCTTTGCCCGGCTGCCAGCAGACTGAAGAATCTCGTCTCCAAACCGTTAAGTTTCGTTTCCTCGTCGTCCACCATAAGCTCAAGAGCTTCATAGTCTGTCTCTCGGAAGTGGTGTTGGTCTCGCAAGTCTTGCATGGCTGCCATCCGGCTGTCGAGGACCTGGGCCGAGGTTGGCGGCAGGCCCCACGGGTTGACGAGTACGGGCCGGATGACGCTCATGAATGCGTTGTCCGCTTCGTCTTGGCGTCGGCGGAGGATTCTGAGCTCCTGCCGCATCTTGGCCATCTGTTGTTTGATGTCGCCCACTTTGGCTCTTTTCTCTTTGAGCTGCTGCCATAGCAGCTGCACTTCGGCGTACGAAGAGACATCGGAGACGACGGAAGCCTCGTCGTCCGCTGAACTTCGCTGCTCCGACGTTGTGGTCGAGCCCGTAGCTCTCAATGGAGTCCTCGCAGGGCTCCGAGCCTTTTCGTACTGAGAAACCCACGTTGTGATGCGGTTCGTGGCCAGAGACCTGCTCCGCGGTGCCGACGAACGGCAAGTCGGAGGAGCTGGAAATTGGGGCGGGAATATGCGAGTATTTCGATAGGCAATGGGATCCTCCTCCGATGAGGAAGCGGAACTGGACGACATGGCGCGGGCGGGACGAGAGAGCGAGAAGGTCGATGGTTCAGACTCAAAGTTCCGCATTTGCTGCGTAGCACGTCTGGTGGGACGACCTTTGAGGTAGATTTGGCTTGGAGCCTGAACGGGCTCGTCACTGGCATGAAGCGCGGAATGGCTAGGGGGGAAATGTAGTGTTTTTGACCGGTGAGGCTTCTGTGACACACTCGACCAAGTATTGTTCATTTTTGTCTGTCCCTGCGTCATGCTGGCGGAAGGCGGCGCTGATGGGACGGGTCTAGTCTGCGATTGTCTCCCATCGCGGAGGGACTCGGGGCGGAGGACTAGAGGGAGATGGGGGGGAGGAGGCTGAGGCGACGGTCGACTCGAGTTGGGTCTTTGTTGAGGCCGACGAGCATCAATGCCAAGCAGGACGAATCCGGGTGGCGGAAGCTGACCCGGAGCCGCGTTGGGAGGAGTCGAGGAAGAATCTGGCGCTGATCGGCTTGAACAGTGAGTCGGCAGCGGCGAAGGTAGAGGTGCCGGAGGGGGGGGCAGCACGGCAACGGGACGAGCAACAGACGGAGCCGAGTTTCTCGAGGGCGGAGGAGGATGGAGATGCGGATCGGGCGTTGCGACTCGACTGGAAGTGTCGCTGCTGGCAAGGCGCCATCGGTCGCTCCCCTTCATGTCGGCTCTAGCACGGGACAAGGCGCTGGCAGCCGAGTCGAGGGTGTCGGTGGCTGTCTTGTCGTCGCCGGGGGGCACATGGACGGGATGCAGCTGCGCAGCATGAGGCCGAGGTGCCAGGCTGGCCGGGCTGCAGACGGCGGTTTCCATGGGCTGAGCCGCAATGCTGCTTGCTGTCACACAGGGCAGGGAGTGCGTGCATCAACGACACGCGGCGGCCATGTCTTGGAACCAAGAAAGGCATTCGAGCCTGGCGTGTCGTCCAACAGACACGTTCATTCCGCCCGCTGGCTTTCCTTTTTGGCAGGCCCACGAGCAGCTGAGAAGCCTCGGGTAGAGTACAGGCTGGCTTCAGGTGTCAAGGGGAGACGACGGTGGCAGCTCTCGTTCAAGGTGGTGGACAGCCGGGATGCGTCGCAGCGTTGTTGTCTAATTTCCTTGGCCTGTAGGAGAGTGCCTTTCACTGCCGCTGCCAGGCCGTGAGTGAAGGGGGACCCACAGACGTCAGCCCTGTGCTGCCACGGCCAGCGGTGTCTCGCACAGTACCACCCGACCCGCGTCTGGGTGGCATGGAAGCTCGCATGCAAGCACTGTACCGTGCCTGAGGGCACTGTGCAGCCTGCAGCCGCGTAGAGGCGGACGTCTTCCCCGGGGCTTCAGGGGTGCCAACCCGACGAGCCCCAGGTCAGACAGACGCTTGCCCAGGTACATATAGTACTTACTTGGGTAGGCCAGCGAGCGAATTCTGCTCACCGCGGCATAATTACGGCACATTATTACCATATTCCATCATTGCCGAAACAAGAAGTGGCAGGATCAAAGACAGAAACAACAATTGCAGCCGTCCACGTAACTTAGCGTTTCAAGTTTACCGTGGCTTACAGACAGTGCGCACAGTACGAATCCAGACCACCTCGAGAGGGGGCACGAGGACGGCAGTAGGGGGGGGGCAGTTCTGCGGCATCCATGCCATGATAGGAAAAATCGCGACGCAAGCCGTCCTCCGGCACACATCTGCCACGAATAGCGACCGCCAGATGGATTACACACGCACAAGTGTCATGGGCTCTCCATCCATGTCTCGCCCACCATGGCTTTGTCCGACGATGCAGGCGGGACGAAAACTCTCGTGTCCGGCCGCTGTGGACTGGAACCAACGGTCCTGTCCCAGAACTGCAGACAAATGCGGTCTACGAAGGGAAAAGAGAGGGAAAAGAGAGGATGAGGATGCCAACATGGAGGGGGAAATGACACCCTCCACCACAACCCAGCACCACCACCCAGCACCACCACCCAGCACCACCACCCAGCACCACCACCTTCGCTCTCCGTCGTTTGCCCTCAGCCGCGCCACTTCACAGGCGCGACGGCTGCCTGACGAATGCTGTGCGACATAGCTCTCCTTAGCCACCTATCACGCCTGGCGCGGGCCGTCGGTTGCAGGCTCCATCCTGGACAAGTCGACGTTGGTACTTGACGCGGACGGCCATTCCTCCACCCATCCATCTCCTGTCAACCCACTCGCGGGCCGCGACCCTGCAGCCCAGCTCCCCGTCGCCAACCAACCCCAAGGCGTCCAAGTGAGAGAGAAGGCAGAGAGGCCCCGGTCTCCCCCAATCTAGCCATACGACGGTACTTGCACTACATGACTGTACTGTACACGCAGCCATGGCGAGGCATCAGGCTCTTCCGACCCGGTCTGGCTCCCCTCTCTCGGCGCTTCTGCTTTGCTCTCCTGTTGAGCCGCATGGCCTTGGTCACCTACAAGAACCCCTCACGGCCGTCCTCTCCCGATCAGCTCCGCTCGTCCTTGCCGCCCCGTCTTTCTCCCCCCTTCATCCACTTGCTCCATCCTCCTCTCCTCTCCCAACCTCAGCCTGGCGTCAGTCTCCGTCGCCCGACCCGACCCGGCCCGGCCCGCCCGCCTGAGTGGTGCTCGTGTGGCGGCTCTTCGGCCGGCATCGCAGGCTCTGGGCGTGGCCAGCCCAGCGCAAGATGCCACCATGCACAAGCACAAGCATAAATCAAAGTCGCATCCCTGGGGCCCCTGGTCTGAATGGGCTTTGGACGAGAGTCGCGGCCGCTGGTATCGCGTTCGCCAGGATATCAACGGTTCGCGCACTCTTCCGCGCCACACAGCTCGTGCTCACGCCAATTGCAGGAAAAGTCGAGTACGACTGGGATAACCGCCAGACCCCGCGAGAAGTAGAGGAGCTTACAGAAGACTTTCGAAACCTCTCCCCCGGCTCCTCTTACGACGCTCAGGGTACGTCAAGTCAGCCTGCAAGCTCGGCCGGCTCTTCACACCGCCACGTCCCCATGTCCTCTCATTTGCCGGCGCGCGCAGACGATTCACGACTACGAACTAAAACGCAACTTTTTCTAGCCGAAGAGTACACAGTCTCGAGCAGTTCCAAGGACAAGTCCAAGTCGAGCAAATCCAAGGCCAAGGGGAAAACCCCCGACGATGCCCTTCGAAACCCCTATGGCGCCCCGGCGGCTGGGGCCGGAGCTGGATATGCCACCTTTGACGAGTCACAGTGTAGGGCGAGTCCCCAGCTTGGAGTCCTGTCTCAGCTGACATCTTCTTTGCACAAAGACGGCTATGACCAATCTTCGGGCAACTACTACGGACATTCATCCTCAGGTGCGATCCCCGGGCGAACGCATCACCATTCGGAAAGCTCACCGTCGTCTAGATCCTCGAGCATCGACATCTTATTCTGGCAACACTTCGGGCTATACCAGTAAGCGATTCCCCATCTACACGCGCGTTGGCGCAGGCTGTGATGTCTTCGTCCCTAACCACTTGCGTCCGCTAATCCGAGTGCACAGCGGCCGGTCAGGGCCCAAGCCGCGAGCCCGGTGACGCCGAACTGCAGGCAGCGGCCAGTCGAGCCATGTACTACGGCGATGCCCCGAGCGGCGAGGAATCGTCCGCGGCGGCATATGGTTTGAATGACCCATCACGGCCTTTGTGATGCTGGCTGACCGATTGTAGGTGCATACTACGAGGAAGAGGACGAAGGTCCACCCACACCCAAGGCTCGCATCACCGCCGATGAGGAGATCCTGGACGAACTGGACCCTCGTGCGTATCCCGGAATCTACTGTGTCAACCATCACTTGGCTGACAGTCATCATCAGGCTACAGAGTCGAGCACTCGAGCAAGTTCCAGCCGGGCGAGGTGGGTAGAGCCTTCCTGTGGTCTTGACAGCCACTCAACTGATTACATTGGCATCCAGATCTTCAAGGTCCATTGGTCTGAGCCGCAAGGATCTGGCAACGAGCATGCCCCAAGCGTCTCGGGCAGGCAGGAAATCCAGAACCGATTCGGAACAAAATTCTTTGTCGGCTTCCGGCGGTTCATCGTGATTGCAAACGACCTCGGGCACAGCACTTGCGTGTAAGCCTGCCGAAGCCATTGCCGTGACTGGGACAGACTTTACTGACCACAGGCTAGCCCCATCCTCACGTACGGCGGCAAAGGCTGCAAAAAGAGGGGCGTCAAGCCAGTAAAGCATGGAGTGATCCATGAGCGTGGCCACAAAGCCCGTTTGCTCGACGGAGAGCCAAAGCTGGGCTTTGCGCCCGTTCGCGTCGAGATGACGGAGGAGGGCGAGAAGCTGTCCAAGGAGTCGCGCGTCAACTACTCCAAGCTGGTGACTGTCGAGCACAACGTCAAGGTCTTCTTCATCGGATCCGTCGTGGCCAGTGACTGGGACCTAGTGCAGGAGGCGGTGAACCGATGCTGGAATGAGAAGAACCACCACAAAAGGAGGTCCAAGTGAGCTGGAATAATGCTCCGGGACCATGCATGACCAGACGTTTTTCTTTATCCAACCAGATGCCCTTGGTCAGCCAGAGCGACATCGAAACTCTCATACGTTAGTCCGACAAAGGAACAGAAGTCTAGCCCCGAGGCGCAGGCAGGTCTCGGTGGATCTTTTCCAGGAAGACAGCCGAGACGGGTCTTGGATAGGCCCCTTGCACACTCGGGGGTGAACGGGTGGGCATCTACGAAGCACCTTCGTAAGGAAGGCAGAGCGCACAAAGATGTTGATGGCCGGGGCGCTCTCAGCGGGTTGACACTTTTGGTATCGTGTTATTTGCAGCCCGTGGCCACGCAGGCACCAAAGCAGACTGATGAGCGGCAAAAAAAGGACAAGGGCACATTGACTGACAGAGCAGGCCGCCTAGGACGGCAGAGAGCGGCGGTTTCTTTCCCCCAACCCATTTAATTGAGCTTTACTATTAGCCCAGACCGAATCTCTATTTAGTCAATAAGACACGTACGGGGCCCTTTGATACTGTGACAAGCTCTGCCGCTCGCGAGGCCACGCCAAAAAAAATTGGGACATGTCGATATACACATACGGGTTGTTGACCAAATACATGCCTTGTTTGGCCCTCGGCAGATAGTGACACTCAAGACTTTTTCTGATTTCACGTTCCGATCGCTTCAAGTCGTCGTGTTAAGGATGCCAAGCTTAAGCTGCTACTCGCACAGCTCGGCGAAGAGTAGAGAATCAAGTCCAGCTCACGGGCACCAACCTAGGGCAGACAAGGCGATATTGGCGCCTCGATCGTCGAGAATCGAATACACTCGACACACGGGCAAAAAGCGGTCAGTGTTTGCCCGAGTCGGCGTCGTCGGCATCGGCGTGAAGGCATCATGGAGTGAAGATGAAGAGAGAGGTCTTTGGGAAGAAGAGCAGGGGGCGTGTCGGGGTTGGTTGGGCGATAAAGACACTCCCTCTCAAATAGACGGAACCTCGGCAAGGGCGGGGTGGCGCTGTACCGGCGCCGAGGCGGTTCGGTCTTTGGCCCGGACTTCCACTGCTTCCGCGACTTGCTCCCTCTCCATTGATGACCCAAGCCTACGCTCCTCATACCGCATATCCTCTCGGGCAATCAACTCTCAAATCACCGCCGTCGAGCTTTAGTACCTACGCGCGACCGATATTGCCCAAGAATTGCAGTGCTGCCCGTACTGCGTCGCGTCGTCCAGAGTCCAGACCTGCTTCGAGGCGCATATCGAACCATGGCCGAGGCGCAGCTCAACAACTTCCCCTCGCTCTTTTCTCTCCGGGGCAAGGTTGCCGTCGTCACGGGCGGCTCCCGCGGTCTTGGCCTACACGCCGCCTCTGCGTACGCCATCGCGCATCTGTCCTCATCGACAAGGAGCGCTCTGTGCTGACATTGCTCCCCCTCCCCCCGCAATAGCTTCCTCCAAGCCGGCGCCTCGACCGTCTTCATCTCGTCGCGCAAGGCCGCCGCCTGCGACGCCGCCTGCAAGGCCCTCAACGCCCTGCCCAACCTGGCCCCCGGCGCGCGCGCCATCCCCGTGCCCGCCGACTCGGCGACCCCCCAGGGCGTGCGGCACTTGCTCGCCGAGGTCAAGAAGCACACGGACAAGGTCGACATCTTGCTCGCCAACGCGGGCGCTACCTGGGGAGCCGAGTTCGACAAGCACCCTGACGAGGCCTTTGCCAAAGTCATGAACCTCAACGTCCGCGCCGTCTTCAACACGGTCCGCGACTTTGCCCCCTTGCTCGAGGAGGCGGCGCGGCAGGGCGGCGCCGACGGCGAGCCCAGCCGCGTCATCATCACGGCCAGCGTCGCCGGTCTCGGCATCGGCACCATCGGGCCGCAGGGCACGTACGGCTACTCGGCCAGCAAGGCCGCCGTCATCCATCTCGGCCGTAACCTGGCCGTCGAGCTGGGCCCGCGGCGCATCACCGTCAACTCCATCTGCCCGGGCTTCTTCCCCAGCAAAATGTCAAACGGACTGCTCGACATGGCCGGCGGCGCAGACGTGATTGCGGAGGGTAACCCCATGGGCCGCCTGGGCCGCCCCGAGGACATTGCCGGCGCCGTTGTCTACCTGGCCAGCAGGGCAGGCTCCCACGTCAACGGCGAGGCCATCGCCATTGATGGCGGGGCCGTGTGGGCTCGTGGCGAGTTGATGCGCGGCGGCGACTCGAAGCTCTAATTGCCAAATCCATGCCGTCGACCCTTCGTCCAACGGACACGGCGCCGTGGGACTGTGGGTGTGTACAAGCACTGCATCGTGTTCCCCTGTGTGTTGACGGGGTCTAGACTCTTTCGGCAGGCTGGTCCTGGTCATCTAGAACAAATAAGTAAAGAATTCCATATGCTGTTAATGCTATGCTCAAACGATACGTCTCCCGTCACCCAAACTGGGCCAAGTCCTCGCCATCTACCGCTTGCGCGCCAAGCCCAGGACTGTCCTCATGGTGTTTCCTCCGCGGCCGTCTGCGAAGATTTATCCGTAGTCTTCTTCCTGGCTTCCTCCTTGGGTTTTTCGACCTTGCGCGCCAACCAAATGTTCGCGCGGTACACCGTGTGGAGCATGCTCTTATCGTCTCGGATATACGGCGCCTCGTGGCCCGTCTCGTGCGACTCGATCTTGAACCCAAGCGTTTCCACCAGCGCTATGGTCTCGTCCTCGCACAGCTCAAAGCTGCCCGGATCGGCGATGCCCGACGAGTTTTTCGGGTCATGCTGGCCGTCGCCGTCGTCGTCGAGGCCGTGGTTGCCGGGCGGAAGGTTTTCAAAGTGCCACAGCAGCGGCCCGACGTTTATGAGGACGCCGCCTGGCCGGAGACAGTGCCAGATGGCCTCAAGGTACCGGATCAGGTTGGGCGCCGTGTCGAGGAAGAAAACGCTGGCAACGGCGTCGTAGGCCTCCTCGTGCTCGTCGTCGGCGTACAGGCACAGAAAGTCGGACGCGCTCATGGACATGGAGCCGGCTGCAGGGGTGTTGGCGAGGACGGTGGCGGGATGGATGTCCGGCACCTTGTATCCGCAAAGGTGGTTCTCCCGCGAGAGGTGGTTGGAGAAGGAGTGTACCCAGGGGTAGATGGTGTGGGACTCAGCACCGGCGCAGTCGTTGAGAATGTACGACGACGCCAGGAGCTGGTGATAGGATATCTCGTTTCCCTCCGTCGCGAAGCCTTTCAGAGCCAGGTCGAAAACCAGTCTTCCCAGGCCCGCACCTGGGACCAAAACCTTTAGGCGATCGCTCTGCGGCCGCTTTTCCCTCTCTCGCTCCATAAAGGATACGACAGGCCCGTAGCACGCATCCCTCTCCGCCTCTCCCTCGGCCGACCAGTCACGGAAGAACTGCCGGATGGTGCTTCTGGCCTTGTCAATGTCGGAGTACTTGGCGACACCCTGCCACTCTTGCGGCATGGCGGGTTCTGGCTCGCCGGATGCCGGGGCTATGGAACTAAAGGCGCGGAGGCCGGAGTTCAGAATGGCGCGGCCTAGCTCGGCATTGGAGTCGATGGCGTTGTCGGCCCTTTCCAGCGTCTCAAGATAGCTAAAGGGCGGTTCCGCAAGGAGCTTCCAATGGGCTTGCGGCAGGGCATAGAACGACTGTCGCCGGATGTGGGTGACGTTGAAATGTGTGACTTTGGCGTACTGGCTGTGGCGAGCATTGTCAGCCTGGATTCGCAGGAGATGTGACGTTGAAGCCTTTGCCACGGTCATCCAGACTCGCTTTCGCCGATGACTTTCACTCTCTCGCACAGCAATTGGGCAGCCGACACTCACCGGAAAGAGTCCAGGGCAGAGAAAATGACTCTGACTTCTTCCGGATCCTGGGTCCCCTCGTCAACGTTACCCCAGGCCGTCTCATCGGCAACGGCCGACTCTGGATGAAGGTTCATGGCGATTGGTCATGAGCTGGGCCTCGACATTGATGCCAATCAGGCGAGGAGCGGCGACAACCCGATCTTGTGACATTCGTCGCTGTTTTTATACCGCAGTCAGGCTTCGAGTGTCGTGGAATCGCCCAAGTCTCACTTTTTGTTCTCCCGGTGAGCGCGAGGTTCCTTTGTCGACGGACCTTAGACGTGCACTTGCGGGAGGCTCCCTCGGCAATGTCCAATCAGGAAAGGCGGTGGAGAGCCGGCGGGCCAATCATGTGATTTGGGCTCGCTTCGGAACAAGCGCCCGCTACGCCGATGCATGTACTTGTACCTCTGAAGCTTTCGAAGCTTGGATGCTTGCACGGCCGGACATATCATCAGATCACGATGGCGTCGGCTCCAACAATGGTCGACTCCGCTTCTAGCGAGCCCGTGCAGCTGTCGATTCCCCTGCCTCGATCGCTAGACACGCGCATCTACCTGCGCTTGTCGACGCACACAAAGGCCGTCGTCCTGTCTCTCACAACGGCGTCTCAGGACGAGCTCGCGGCATCAAAAGCCATGGGCTCCTTTGTCTACGCACTGCCCAACGTCGGTGCCGCCGCCACTCGGCTCTCGTCCAAGGCACGTCTCCAAACTAACCTTGCCACAGCGCTTCGACGCCCAGCAGCCGCTGTCAACCACCCTCTTCCCCCATGAGCCAACGGTGGAATTCACCACTCGCCTGGCCAAGCTCATTGCTCGGCGCACGCAGCTGCCGGCATACGTGACCAACTCTATGAGCTTTGCCGATGCGGGTATGGGCGGCACAGTCGAAGAGGAGATGGAGGCCTTTCGCAGTATTGTTGACGTTGTGCTCATGCGGCTAAGAGGCAGTCATGCCGGTTCTGGGACAGCGACTGAGGGTGCCAAATCATGAGCTTTCGCAACCTGACGGAAGCGCGAGGGGGGGAGAAGATGACGTATCCTACAGCCATGCTCGCCTCGCTTAGGGCTGCCCCTACCCATGGTCAATCGAGCAGGCCGACTGTTCTTACAGGGTCGTTCCCGTGGAGAATGCGAGCATCCGGCCGCGGTGCCACTCGAGGCGGGTTTGGGCGTGATTGGACTGTATGACTCGTCTCAGGAAGAACGCGAAATGTCGTTATTGCATGCCGCATCATGTTATAGGCGTGGCATGACAAACAAGGCATCTGCCGCGGATACCTAGACAGGAAGGCTTTCTTGTTTCTGCTGAAGCTCCATCTTCCACCATCTGTAGCGCCAAGGGGCTCCGCCCCTGGCCTGTCAGCGCTCGAGCGGTGGACCTAGCGCGTCACCTCGAGCTTGAACGAGCCGTCGACGAGGAGCAAAGGAATGACCTGACATTTTGCTTGGATGGGGGGCACGCGGTAATAAGCATTCTCGCTGGCACAATGCGGTACAGTGTATGCTTTGTACCCGTCTCTGAGAGCGCGGCAAAACGGAGACGGCCGAGGGAGCGGAGAATGATGCTATTCCGGAGGCTGAAAACGGTGAGCCAGGCAAGAGGTTGAATAGCTTGAAACTGTGCACCAAGCTGCCGTCTCTGCAGCAAGCCCTTGCAGATAATTCAAGTGCTTCGACAATAAGACGTCGATTGTTCGTTCCGCTGGACCAGCTCCTCGTCAAAGGGCACCTACAAAATTAATACGTAAGGGGGAGCCAAGCGAAAAAAAAAACGTTGCCCTGGCCTAAGCCTACCAGGGAAACGGGTCTTCTCCCCCCGCCCCGCCGAGCCTTGGTGCCAGCAAGCGCCGGGTTATCGTTATCGCACCCCGCCGCTGGTGTCGTGGTCCTGTCTGGCTGCTCCCCGCCAAACCCGCACAGAGGCTGTTCAACCCTCCCGCAAACGCCCGCCATCACGCCTCTCTCCTTGTGCAGATTTGGTGTCAACCCTCTCTGCCCGGCGACCGCCCCGGCCCTCGCCATCCATTAATCGAGCCCCAAGTCGCCGCCCGCGCGACAAGCTTGGATACCGAGCCAGCCAGCCAGACAGACAGACCCTGACGCTCCACATCACTGGGGCCCCGCGACCAACGAGCCCCGACTCCAGGCACAGGTCTCGTACCCGCGCCCAGCGCCCGTCGCATCCTGCTCTCTCGCTGACTTGTGGTGCCTCTAGACTGGTCTTGCCGGAGCTCATGTCATAGAGCAGACAGCTGCGCCGCCCACCTCCGTCTCGCGCCTCGCCCTCGCTCGACTTGCCCGCAGCCATGTCTTGGCAGCCCGCCCCCGAGTCGCTGAGGCAGCTCGCCGCATGCCTCAAGGACTCCTTGAGTGGCTTCGACAAGAACGCTCAGAAGCAGGCGGAGCAGGTGGGTGCTCTTTCGTGACCCAGTCTCCCCCTCAACCTCACGTGCTCATCCCCCTTTGCAGATGCTCCAGCAGGCAAAGAACTCGCCCGACATCAACAACTACCTTGCCTACATCTTCTCCAGCTCTCAACCTCCCGATGGCCTGCAATGCACCGAGCAGGACTACCATCTCGCCCGCTCGGCCGCTGGCATCATGATCAAGAACAACGTCAGGTCCGATTGGAAGTCCATACCCGAGTCGAGTCTGCAGCTCGTCAAGCTCGCCGTTCCCCTCGGCCTGCAGGACAAGAACTCCCAGATCCGCAATTTTGCCGGAAACATCGCCACAGAGGTCATCAAAAGGGGTGGCCTTCTCACCTGGCCTGACTTGCTCCCGCAGCTGCTCGACATGGTGGGTAACACGAGCGGGCAAGTCACCAACGAAGCTCAGGAGGGAGCCATGTCTGCCATGGCCAAGATATGCGAGGACAACGCCAAGATGCTCATGAGAGAAGTCAATGGCCAACGACCCCTGAATTTCGTCCTGCCCCATTTTATTGCCGCAACCAAGAGCCCCCTGCCCAAGGTCCGCGTCGGCGCTCTCACGGCCATCAACGTCTTCACCCCACGCGAGTCGCAGGCCATGCTCAACTCGGTCGACGACCTACTGCAGCATCTCTTTGTTCTTTCAGGCGACGAAAACCCCGACGTGCGCCGACAAGTGTGCCGAGCCTTTGTGCATCTCGTCGAGACCCGGCCCGACAAGCTGCAGCCCCACATCGCGGGTCTCGTCGACTACATCGTCTGCCAGCAGAAGAGCGAAGACGAGGACCTGGCTTGCGAGGCCGCCGAGTTCTGGTTGGCTATAGGAGAGCACGAGAATCTATGGAAGGCCCTGCGGCCCTACCTCAACAACATCATCCCCGTCCTGCTCCGATGCATGGTCTACAGTGCCGAGGAAATTGCCCTCCTGGGTGGTCTTTCAGATGATGAGGAGGAGGAAGATCGCCAGGAGGACATCAAACCAGCCTTTGCCAAGAAGAATCTCAAAAGGACGGCCAACGGTGAGGGATCTGCATCGGCCGACCAGCCCAAGAACGGCGACGCGTACGAAAAGCTCAACGAAATGGATGAGGGGCTCGAGGAAGGCGAGGTCGAAGATGAGTACGACGACGGCGACGATGCGAACCCTGACGAGCGATGGACAGTCCGCAAATGCTCGGCCGCGGCCCTCGACGTCTTTGCTCGCGACTTCCAAGGCGCCGTGTTCGAGGCCATCTTCCCCTATCTGTCCCAAAATCTCAAGCACGAAGAGTGGCCGTATCGAGAGGCTGCCGTGCTGGCCCTTGGCGCGGTGGCAGAAGGGTGCATGGACGTTGTTGTCCCTCACCTACCCGAGCTCGTCCCTTACCTGATTTCGCTGCTCGAGGACCAGGAACCGATTGTCAGGCAGATTACCTGCTGGACGCTGGGCCGTTACTCGTCGTGGGCGGCGAACCTGGCTGATCAGAGCCAAAAAGAACAGTACTTTGTGCCCCTGATGGACGGCATACTGCGCAAGATGCTCGATAAGAACAAAAAGGTGCAGGAGGCCGGCGCGTCGGCGTTTGCCAACATCGAGGAAAAGGCCGGCAAGCACCTGGAGCCATACTGCGGTCCCATCATTCAACAGTTTGTCCGATGCTTCGCCAAATACAAGGACCGCAACATGTATATCCTCTACGACTGCGTCCAGACCCTTGCGGAGCGCATTGGTCCGTTGCTCGCGACACCCGAGTTGGCGAACCAGCTGATGCCAGCTCTGATCACACGCTACAACGCCGTCTCTGACCAGTCCCGCGAGGTCTTCCCGCTGCTGGAATGCCTGTCCTACGTCGCGCTGGCCCTGAGCCACTCATTCGCTCCTTACGCTCCGCCCATATTCATGAGATGCGTCAACATTATCCACATGAATCTCGAGCAGAGCCTAGCTGCTGCCGGCAACGTGACTCTGGACCAGCCCGACAAAGACTTCCTCATCACGAGCCTCGACCTCCTGAGCGCCGTCGTACAGGCCTTGGAAGACGAGAAGTCGGCCGAGCTGGTCAAGAACTCACCCCACCCCTTCTTTGAGCTGCTGGGCTTCTGCATGGAGGACCCTACCGACGAGGTTCGGCAGTCGGCGTACGCCCTGCTCGGTGACTGCGCCAAGTACGTGTTCCCGCAGCTGCAACAGCACCTCCCCACAATGGTCCCGATTCTGCTCAAGCAACTCGACATGGACAACGTCTTGGACGAAGAGATGGACAGCGGATTTGGCGTCGTCAACAACGCCTGCTGGTCCGCGGGCGAGGTTGCCATGCAGCACGGTAAAGGCATGACGCAGTGGGCGCCGGAGCTGCTCCAGCAGTTTGTGGAGATCATGAGCAACCCTCGGGTGCCCAAAGGCCTCAGCGAGAATGCCGCCATTGCGCTGGGCAGGCTTGGCCTGCACTCTGCCGATGCGCTGGCACCCGCCTTGCCCACGTTCGCAGAAGACTTCCTGAACGCGATGCAGGAAGTAGACCCGTCCGAGGAGAAGGCCACTGCGTTCAAGGGATTTTCAATAGTGGTGGGCCAGAATCCTCAGGCGATGGAAAAGGTCTTGATGGACTATTTTGTGTCCATTGCGCAGTACCAGGACATGAACCTGCGGAATCCGATCAAGCAAGAGCTGCATGAAGTTTTTCAAAGCGTGAGCATAACCATGGCCCTGTCGATGACTTTGTTTCTTGTTGCTAACGCATGTCCCTTGTACAGGTGCTCAACGTTTACAAGCAGATGATTCCACAGTTTCACGAGTTTATCAGCCAGATGCAGCCTCGGGACCAGCAGAACCTCAAGAACAACTATTCCATCTGAGCTAGATGAGGATTTTGACTGGCTCAAGATGCCTTGTTGCATTAGTACTTTGAGCAGGGCAAAGGCATTCAAGCTCAACCCGGGAGCATGGTTGATGGGTGATATATGCAGACTTGTTTTAACAAGTGCCTATCGGAAGGCACGGGATAGACTGCTTTCCTTTTCGTCACGGCTCATGCGAGGTGGTGCACAAACGGTGCAGGGTGCGATCAAAAACAGCTCAATCGGAGGAGCAGAACATGCGATGGAGACGCGATGAGACGCGATGGCAAGCCGGCATGGAGGAGTATGGGTCATGAGGGAACAAGTGGGACAGTGGCGGGAGGAACCGCATTTCAAGGACGCAATATCCGACGATGGACGGGTGAGAGTACGGGCGGGGGAGGGCCGTGGATGTTTATGTGGCATCGGAAGTGGCCATCGAAGTGATATCAACACGAGGTGCGTTGTTGGGGGCTTACGCTTGCTTTCCCTCGCCTAGTGCAGATGTAAATGGGTGAGAAGGTAGATAGACACTGAACGACAATATCAAAGCGAGTTGACCGCAATAGGCGCCTACGTGTTGAGCTTGTCAACGGGTTTTCCACAGATGACTCGGACAATGGCCGGAAAGGGGCAGACTTACGGTGGGGAGAAGTGCGAACTGCACGCCGTTCATCGCTTGAATTTGAGGCAAGCTATTTATATATCACCTGTTTGTGAGAATGCCCATTATCGTCGTGGGCACCAGAGGTCTTACGCCCGAACCCCTGGCCGACTGAAGCCCTATTGTTTCACTCGACCGTATCCGACTACCGATGTTCGAATGGAGGCCCTTTGATGTATGTGACATCGATTTTGTCTTTTCACAGCAAGAATCAACGCTCACGGACTCGGTCTTGATGAAGGTTTCCCGAAGCGCTGTTCCTAGCTCGGACCATTGTCCTACCCTGAACAGTGTCCGTATTCGAGTCCAAGTTTCTCGGAACCATCGATTTTGTCATTGATTTCCATAAGGAGGATGGATGCTAAAGAACTCGGGCTGGAGAAGGATCCCTTGAAACTTGAATCTCAACTTGGGCTAGGACGGGCCTATCTTGATCAACAGAGCTACTGACTCTCCCTTGTGTTCTATCTCTACGCCCTGCTTTACTGAGAGGCTCAGTACGAGCACCGTGACAGCCGCCGCCGTCGAGTACTGCTACATGCAGCCCCTGTTCGGACGTTCAACGCCTCATGCTACACCGCGGTTCTCGGCCAGAGGAAACGGCGATTTCTTCGGCAACGGCATGACAGAATCGTCGGTTCCTATTCCTTGACTTTGGATATTCCATGTCAGTGTGGCTTTGCAACCACGTGTCCCCTGAAGATTATTTCTTTTCTTGACTCGAGTCGGATCACGGCAAGTCCATCCATGCCAGGGTAAAAACGCATCAATTTCGTTTCCAACCATCACAGCCCCTTTTTGACAACGCTAGAGGGGAGAGGACTGCGGAGTTTTACTCGCCGGGGACCGCTCCGGGGCAACCTGTGAGGCCATTGAGCAAATTGAACTACACCTGAGTCGATTGGCGAATGGCATACTTGGGAGGCAGGCAGAGGCCGAGCGTGTCATGATTTTTCGACACTAGCCCCTCGAGATGCGTCGGCGAATAGGCTCTTGGCAGGTTTTTTTTCAAGCAGGAACAGGGGGCGGTGGGAAGAGACACATTGGGTATTCATGGCCGAGTCGCATACACGATGACGAGGCGAATACTCCCCGACGCTGCATTCTGCATGAACAACAGTTCACGACGACGACGACTTACACCTTCTGCTTCTATCATTGGTGCATTATGGCACTTGATACGGTGCGTTTGCTTGCCGAATGCCGGCCGCCTTGCCATCACGAGTTTCTGTCCGGGTCTGCCTTGCCTATATGTGAGATCGCCATGGATAAGTGCGACAAGTGAGGACCTGGGGAACTGGAAAAGGGGCTAAATTAATAGGGGCATTATTACCCCAAAAAATACCGTACAGGCAGAGAAACACGCTCAAGGCATGCACTGCGACGAGGTGCTTGGACAGTGCCGGCGCGCGTGCATGGTCGGTGGGCCCCGGCGAGCCTTCTCGGCCTGCCATCCGGCTGTTCGATTTCGAGCCCGTCGATGATATCGGGTTGCTATCGAGTCGCCGTCACAATATACTCCGAGTGCCCTGTCCCTCCATGATAGCCGACTGGTGCCTGGGTTGAGCGAAGCAGGGACTGCGGCGGGTGATGCGACGAAGACCGAACCCCAGCCCGCCCCTGACACGTCGACCCTCGGAGCCTGTCACTCTGGCGGTGGATCTATCTACATACATCTGTACATACATACATACATGCATCCATGCGTGTGCTCTTGGCCGGCTAAGCGAGCCTGGGGTCTAAGCTCGGCGTATGCTGAATTGGGAAATGGGACACTTGCTGCCGCGAGCAAAACCCTGAATGGCCTGACGGGCCGGCATTCTTGTCACCGGGGAGATTGCCTGGCTCCCTGATGCATAGATGGTCGCTGCTATGCCATCGACACCCTTCCTCCTCGACGATGCAGAATCACGGGAACCACCCCCGGAGTGCTTGCCGGCCGTAGAGTGACGACACTCACTCATTCTGGCTCACGATGAAACCCAGCGGAGCTATTATCCCGAAGTACATTAGAAAAGGACAGGGAAGAGCAGCATGCGTGCTGGACGAGATCGACTGCTGCACATCCTACATTGCATGATGCATCCACCAGGGCCGAAGGGGAAGAGGGGGGAGAGGGGGGCAGTCAATCGAGAGTTAGTGACGGAGGGGAATGCATTGCGGTAGACGTTCTCGGTGCGGTTTCCTTGAATACCGTGTGTGGATGGGCGAGGACTGGAACGGAGCGCGAAGCCTGTCATACAATCAACGAGCTCACAGAATACATCCGACCGCACAAGATGGCCATGTGGCATCAAGACTGTGTTTCTTGTACAGGGCACGAGGCAGGCGAGGGGCCAGGCTTTCGCTATGCCATATAGAACGACTCGGTCATGATCTTAGGATAGGGGGGGCACGATGCAGGGGAGACACGGCAGCCTTGCTGTGGGTGCGAGATTCGAAAAAGCCTTGGCTTCCCATGGCCCTCTCGGCCGGTGTCTGCTCCAAGAGACTGGATATGATTATTTCACGTCCCGTCGGGCTTTTGTCCTGATGTACGGAGTATGCCTAGTTCTTTGCCTGCAGCTTGGTGCCGTCAGTATACTACAACAGCATGCATTCGATAGTGGATGCCGTCCTTGCATGTGTTCAGGAACTTCAGGTCCAGGAAACGAGTCAGCCCGGGAAGTGGGGAAAGCAAGGAGTGACGTGAAGGAAGCCAGCGCAGAGAGCACGGGTTTGTGCAAGACCGCGGGAGAGGCTGCCTTGTCCTTTGCCAAGCAGCTGATGGCGGCCACGATGACCAGCCCGCCAGCACCAAGTCACCTGGTCCGACGACGTCGCCAAGCCGTTGGTGCGAGAAAGACTGATGGGTTGAAGCCAATCAAAGGGGCGGAGACGAGATGCCAGTGTCTATATATAGAACCCCGGCTGCGGCGCGGCTGTTGCTGCGGGCCTCTGTTCGGCAACTCGGCTCCACGAGCACCTGGGCCGATGTATTTTCTTTTTGCGACCCTTTTTATAGCGAGTGTGTGTGTGTGTCTTGGCTTGCTTGGTCGGCATCACGTCATGGTGGGCTCCTTCGCGCATATTCGTGGTTGCATGTGCCCACGACATCCCTACACTGACACATATATGGGCCGTAATAACCACACACCTATATAACGGCCTGGTAATCACACATCCACAACGTACAGGGCTGGCGGGCAAGTGTGCACCACCAAGTCCACACCTACGCCTGGATTTCCAACTGCCTGGGCTCGAGCCACGGCTCCTACTAGGTTGATCCTGGGCAAAGGCCTGACCGGGCCCTGCACAACGGCGAGGGCGAGCATAAAAGTGGCAGAGAGAGCGAGGCAGGGGGGGTGAGCGGGCAGGTATAAGCTTTCCCCAGCAGTGCCCTTTTCGGCTTGGCTACGAGCAAGGAAGGGCATAGCATAGTGCGGGTGTTGGTATAGAAGACAGCAAAGAGTAGAAGAAGCAAAACCCAGCCCGCCAATGATGTGATTCGCCCAAGGACTCGGCGTAATGCCGGCCGATATAGTCTACCGTGCCAGTGCGGAGCGTCACACAACGCGGCGCGACTGAGGCAAGGAAGCGCGGGTCATGTTGGAGCCGCCCTCTCTGCGATATGGTGAGAGAGAGAGAGAGTCTGTCGATGCTCCACTCGCTATTTCTCCAATGCCAACCTACTCTCCATCCCCGCGGGGACCAGCACACTGAGGGTTATTCATGCGTAGCAAAGCAGGTGAGCAGGCGGCAAGGACGAAGCTCAGTATAGGCTTAGTTAATTCATAGCCAATATCGACGGGGAAAAGGGGTCGAGTCGACCATGGGGTCCAAGATCGAGGCATTAATCAATCAATTTAATCAATCAATCAAAGATCACAACATGTAAACGTGACTCTTGGCGTCGATAGTGTTGCTCCGTTACCCCTGTTTGCTCAACCATCAGTGCCAAGAGCACACTGTCGTCGACGAGGAGAAGCGCCAGGGGGCCGACATGCCAAGCGAAGCAGAGACTTTTGCGAGTCCAAGCAAGGAGGAGGCCGTCGATGGGCATCCCTTGAGCAGACGTGGCTGTGGGCACGGCGTCGGTGGTATCAGGACAATTTTACGCATGTTGTACGTCCCTGGGTGCCTTGTCTCACAAGCTCACCGCTCTGCTCTCCTTGGACCGCGGCGTAGGACGAAGGCGTTTCTTTGATGTACACGGCACTTTATCTCGCAAGACCAGCCCTGTTATGGATGGGGCTGGACGGGGATCACCGGCAGGCGGCGTGGTCACGAGAGCGGTAGAGGCGGAGAGAGAACCAGTGCACTGGACTGGACGAACTGCTACTTGGCACCAGTGGAGAGAGGAGAAGGGAAACCC